GATGTGTGTAGCAGCTGATAAAGCTCAGCAGCTAACACAATACATAGTGCAAAGTCAAACAGTTGGTTTTAATGACAGTTCTCTACCAGGGAATGGCCTGCTCCTAATCAAAGTCAGGATTGCTATGTGTTTTTTTCAATTATATTTATATTTTTAGATGTCAATTATTAGTTTCACTATTTAAATTTGATTTTCTTTGATTGTATCACTCCTCTAATCTCTTGTTTGTTTTATTTTATGTATTTCTCAGTCATTAAGAATTTTTTTGCATTTTTCTCGATGTTGGTTAATTTTTTTTCTATTTAGAGCATGTTCTTCTGTATCTCAGACTTTTCTCACACAATGTAATGGAGAATTGCTTTGATCATTTAATCCTGACTGTGCGATTGAGGGCTGGGAAGACAGTCCTGCCACTCCTTCTATTTTGGGTCTTGGCTTGTCAGTAAGAAAGAAAAATAGATCAGTGAATGAGTATCCTCCAAACTATCTGGCATTTTTGGGAGCTTACAAGTGAAGAGAGACCTGTGCAATAATTGAGTTTACAGACCAACTTTAATCAGGATTAGACACAGTAAATAAAAAGATGAGCAAGAAAGTTGATGAAATCTTTCCTGCTCTGACAATAGATGACATTAGTAATGAAATCTGAAGTAATCAATGTTAGATGATCAATAACTGTCCTGACTACCCAAGACCAAGCAATCAAGAATCTAGCTAAAGAACATGAAATGAAATTACTGTAGTTAACTCTAGTTGAACAAAAAAAGAAGACCTGAATATAATGGTGTGATCCTGACTAACAAGACTGTTATTTTCCAGATTTAAGATGTTTAGCCTGAGAGAAAAGCTATGAGTAGTCCTTGTGCTCCAATGCAAATCTCTAGTCTCTGGAGCGCATGGCCATAAGGTCTGTTTCAATTTCTTAACATAATTTTGGGAATTATTATTTCATCATCTTCACCATTCATTCCCTGCCTCAATATTCTCAGCAAGGCAAACCTTGATTTTGGCCTCAATATCTCCTGTTCTAGCTTAACTAACTGATAGAACCATCCCAGATGGCCCGTAAATGTGAATCACAGTCTGGCTTTTTCTTAAAGTGTCCTTCACTGACTTGAATGCAGAATATGAATGGTGGGCAGAGTTAATTGCAATTTCTTTTTCCCAAAGAGTCTTAGATCTGTAATATGTTTGGATGCAAAAACACAAAATGTAAGCTGGGCAGTGGTGGCACATGCCTATAGTCCCAGCACTCAGCAAACAGAGCCTTTAATGCCAGAACTCAGTAGGCAGAGGCAGGCAAATGTCTGTGAGTTCAAGCCACCCTGGACTATAGAGAAAGTTCCAGGACAGCCAGGGCAGTTACATAGAGTAACATTGTACTCCCCCAATAAAAACTGAACAAAGTGAAAAAGGCCTAGTGAATAAAATTTATATTTTCAAAGTAGACTAAAATACAGAATTCTATTTCAAAGTAAATATCATGACTCAGAGTTTACATGTTAAATTAAAATATTCTTTTTTAAATGTAAATTTAATTTAAATATAATTATATCATTTCCTTTCAAGGTTATCCCAGCTACATTCCCTCCAACTATTCCCATATCCCCAAATCAATAATATAACCTCCATTTGATCATTGTTACTCTTACGTATTTAAGCATATAATTTTCAAATATATATTTGAAATATATATAACTTCAGAATGTTAGTGCAGCTTTATTATTAGTGATTATATCATTTCAGGTCTCACCACTTTGCACTAGACAAGCAATAATAAGTATAACACATGGCAGATGGTAACTCTCCTTGTCACAGTATTCATTAGGTATCTATAATTCTTTGATTAGAGATTTGAGATAGAGGGACACTATGAACTGGGAAACAGAAACTCTGAAGGGTTCTTCAGTTATGATGGAAGGAAAGTCAGTACAAAAGGTGATGCAGAAATGAGCAATAACCTTAGCACCACTCAATAGAATCTTGATTTAAATTTTCTGGTATAAAATAAATATTATGTATTAAGGATACTATGACTTTTTTTCTTTCCTTTCTGTATCCCCTTGAATTTCATATGATCTTAGACTGACACTTAAGACTTCAAGCAGAACATATAACAGGTATGGAGAGAGTGAGTTTCCTTTATTTTCCCAGTTATAAAACGTTTTGCATTTTCTCCATTTAGTAATTATGTTGGTAATTACTTGCAGTAAACATATTCTATTATTTGTGGATATGTTCCTCCTACTGTAGAAGTTTTATAATGAAGGGATGTTTTATTTTGATGAAAGTATTTTCTGCAGTTAATGAAGAGACCATTTGGTCGGTTTCATATAGTTTGTTCTCCTAATACATTATGTGTCTTTATTTACTTATGCTGTTTCCTATTAACATCTTTTGGATGATGTCACCTTGATCCCAGAAGATAATTCTTTTGAGGTATTCTTGAAATGGAAAGTTTCCCTTTTGTCATATAAGAGTAAATGGATTGATGTTAGTTTTTCTCTAATGTTCTGGTGGGATTCTGTCCTGAATCCATCTAGTTTTCTTTTTTTCTTTTTTTTTTTTTTTGGTTTTTCGAGACAGGGTTTCTCTGTGTAGCTTTGTGCCTTTCCTGGGACTCACTTGGTAGCCCAGGCTGGCCTCGAACTCACAGAGATCCACCTGGCTCTGCCTCCCGAGTGCTGGGATTAAAGGCTTGCACCACCACTGCCCGGCAGCATCTAGTTTTCTTAAGTTGAGTTTGTTTTTTTAATTATTCCTTCTATTCAACTTCAGAACATGTGACATGATAAATTCTTTATTCATTTGATTTATCTTTGGTAGGTTATATGCTAAGAAACTCATTTTTTATATTATACATATTGTAGGTAAATGAATAAAACTGAAAGAATTGTTATAAGTGACTTAACCCAGAAAGACAAATACTGCATATTTTCTCAAATTTGTAGATGCTAGCTTTTAAGATTTTGGTCTCTATATTTTCTGTAGAGTTTAGTTAACTAGCATGGAGCCAATGAGGATGTAGGGTTTTTTTTCCACAAAAGGGGTAATTAAAAACAGCACTATTAAAAAGAATGAGAAATTAAAACAGTATTAAGTCATGAAAGTGATGTTAGAGTACTGTAGAAGAGAAAATACAAAGAGGGATAAATAAGATTACAGTCCTTTTCTTGATAATCTTAAAAACATATTTATATATTTATTGACTATATATGTGGCATGCATATGATTAAATGGTAGTTTTCAGAAACCTCTTTCCACTGTCTGTGTCCTGGTAATAGCCCTCTGGTAATCGGATTTGCAGGTAATCATTTTTATGTCTCTGGCTCACAAAGAAATCTTTTTTTAAAGAAACATAGACAACTGTACTTCTGTGGAAGCTTGTTAAAACAAGTGAATATCAAAAAACATTTTAAATGTCTTTACTGTATGATGGTGTAGCCAATACCCAAACTTGAAATCATGTGTCAACAAATAAAGCTTCCTGTACAAGTAATGGGTTGCATTGTTTTCTGGTGTTATACCCAAACATAGCAGGTATCATTTTTGTAATAATCATCAAAAACCCAACAAAAAGGCTCACATATTTAAAAAATGGAGTGAGAAGATATCAGACATGTGTTCAACAGAACACTTCAACCCAACTCAAATATGTTCATAGTGTCATATACGCTACATGAGACGAAAAGTACACATCAGTCTTTCATCGTTATGAACCATGTGACTGCATATTCTCATTGGCATGAAAGAAATGCACAAAATTGGAACATTTGTGTTGGCAATCATTAACCAGCATTTGATTGTCTTAAATCCAACTCCATTGTTTGAACCCGTACCTGACACTATTATTGCAGACAAGAAACTGAGACCAAATTGATCATGGGCTCAAGATAAAAAATGATTATTATTCTGCTTAATGAACATGGCATTAAACTAATGCTATAATATTATACACAAATATTTGTGCATCACTCATCCTTCACTGGAGAAGCTTAATTAGGAGATTTTGGAGAACTAAGCTCTATCTGGGATTCTTTCATCTTAACCCTTACATAAAGGTTTAGGTACCTATGAATAAATATATGCTGAGAGAACATAGAGGCTAGAAATGGTAAATGAATTTAGGGAAGAAATTTACAAACATTATAGGAAAAATGGGCCAAAAATCACCAAGTCTGTGACAGCAAGGCCAAACCCCACAGAAGCCAAAGTCAGACAAAAATCTTAGCTTCTAAAGTGGAAAGTAGGACCAAAGTCACAATTTTGTGACAAGAACATATGTGCAGCCCTTAGCTTCCAGGAATAACAAAATCGGTTTTTCAATGAATAACACCAGGGTATATCAATCATATTCAAAATCTTGTGTTCAGAAACAGTTGGCCAGACCAAACATTCCTTGAATTTTTTATGTATTTTCTGTTCTTTTTTTTTAGATTTTATTTATTTATTTATTATGTATACAGTGTTCTGCCTACATGCATACTTACAGGCCAGAAGAGGGCACCAGATCTCATTATGGATGGTTGTGAGCCACCATGTGGTTGATGGGAATTGAACTCAGGACCTCTGGAAGAACAGCCAGTTTTCTTAACTGCTGAGCCATCTCTCCAGCCCTGTTCTTTCTTTGATAGAGAGAATGAGACATGGTACAGGAATCATGATATCGGGTTAGTATGATACAGGGATGGTATGCAAGGAGGAAATAGAAAGAAAACTATATTGAGCCAGATATAATATAAAAATGTTTAAAAAATTCAAAAAAAACCTTAGAATCACTGACAATCAGGACACAAATTCAGACATTTATTGGAATACAAAATAAAGCCCCACATACATTGTGAAATTCCTATTGGTATATTAAATTTCATCTAACCACTCTTCTGATGAAATGAGGGAAAATCATGTAAAATTTTCTGTGTTCTAGATCCTAGTACACAATTCCAAATGAAATTCTCAGGCATTGCTTTTAGTGAGGAGCTGAGCTAATCCCATTCCAGTTATGGTTTGTTTTTTGTTTTGTACTTTATACATAAACGATTGTTTCCTTCCACCTTACCTGGTTCTCTACCTTCTGCTTCCTCTATGTTCAGGATCCAGGGTTCTTTATTCTGTTCAAGACAGGTGACTAGCTCTGGTTTTGAAACAGAAAGGCCTGTGAATTAGAAGAGACATGGTAATTTATTTATATGATGGGAAAAAGAGTTGGGTTCTAACACAGGCTTGTACTCAGTGGATATCAAGTTACATAAGGAAAGATTCATAAGTGAAGTTTTATTAGTCAGTACTTGACAGGGGTTGTAGAGTTTAAAGAAATCCTTAATTTCAATTGCGTATATATTCAACTTTGTATACATTATGCCATTACAAAAATAAAACTGTGGGAATCTGACTGTATTCACACATTATTGCTACTGAGCGACTGCAAAAAAAATGGAATTTAAGGGAATATTTGCTAAATTAAAAGAGCATTTAGATTAACAAAATTTTCAATAAATATTACACTCAACAATATCTAGTAATAATTGGGCTCAGATTCATTGATAGAAAGCAATTCAAGCACTAATACAAGCTACTAGACATTCACAGGTCTAAGCAGCAATTAAGAAATAATTTATTCTCACCTACAGAAACCAGGTTGCTGTAGTTCTCCAACATGACCTCTCTGTATAAATCCCTCTGAGAAGTGTCCAGGCATTCCCATTCCTCCTTGGAGAAACTGATATTCACATCCTTGAATGTCAATGGACTCTGAAGTGAAAATTCAATTTTTCTTTGTTATGATGGTATGAATCCTTATTTGCCCCAGGAAAGAGCATTTAACTAAAGAATTCTCTGTGTTATTAGTAATCTGCAATTTTCAAAAGGTATATATTAAGAGAGAGGACATTGTAACATTTTCATGAAATCAAAGTACTCAACATCCAAACATTTCATGAAATATGCACCTTTTCTCAGTGATAAATAATGTCTGAAATTGTGCTCAGTAGGAATATTGTTTCAATAGTCATCTCTAATATCAGAAAATTTGTAAATATTTCAGGTCATTAATTGATGTAGTTAGGTCATACTGTAAAATAAAAGAGGCAGGAAAGAATGGAAAGCAAAATGTAGAACAGAGATGACAGTGATAATAAACAATTTAAATTAGAAATATAATAAAACACAAAATCATAGTTTTCCTCTAGTGAGGAATTATAGTGAAGGTTGAGAGCTCTGCAAATGAAGCATTTATGTGTGGAATGTCAAACCATCCTTGTGAATGAATTTACCTGAGAACATGCCATCTGTCCCTCCCCTTCTTAATGGATCCCGTCAGGAAGTTTATCTTAAAGTTTCACCTTTCTGATACTATTCTGTGTGAAAGGCTGCATCTCCTGCCTTCCACACTCAGAGATCAGAAAGCAGGTTAAAAAAATTGCAATTGGAGACTTGTGCCACAGCAGAGATGTAGAAACCATGAACTTTTACATGCAGATCGAAACTTAGCTTTGTCTTTCCTCCCTTATGAGGGTCCTTTACTTCTTCAGATCATGAAAATCTATACCACATGGGGATTTGGTGTCAGTACCCTGCTTTAAATTGAGTCTGAACACAGCTGTACAGAGTTGTACAGACCCCTTCCTCACATTCCATTTTCCTGAGATCATTAATTAAAACATAACTGCCACCTGTATTTGGTAATAGTGGATAAGTATGAGGGATAGCCTCAACTTAAAGTATTTCTCACCCTGGGAAAGTAATATACTTGCTTGCAACTAAGGAAGAGTAAGAAATTGATACCTCAACAGTGTCTTCCATGAGGCATTTCCTTTACTTTCCATGTTTCTTTCTAAAATTCCATAATTTTACAGTATTTCAGTGAGCCAAATCATTAGATTCTCTCTTAAGTTTATTATAAACAGTGGAAAAGCTTCTTTTGGATTCACTTGCAAATGTTGCATCTAAATAATGCCATCCCTGCATTCGATTTAGTACTTTTGTTTGTTAATAAAGACACTTCAACTCCAATCACCAAAATTTATCTTTTTGAAACTTTTTGATTGTTTGTGAAATCCACACGAATATAAGTACCTACAAGGTCTCCATTTGTTCATTTGTTCTAAAAAATGTACTATATAACCATGGGATGTAATGTTGCATCTACTCCCAGGGGAGTGATTATTAGCAGGTGTCATCACAACACATGGGCATTGCAAGTTCACTGTAATGTTAGTAGCTAGCAAAGAGAAATGATAGAATAGACTCTTTGAATCTAGTCACAAAACAGAAAAATAGAAAGATGGAAAATTGCCTGATACAATAATTTCATGTCACCTTATTATTGGCAAATTCTATTTGGAAATTTGTATTGCATTTAAACATTTCATCTTAGTATATAACACAGTATGTCTTTCATAGCAATACTACTTTAAACATTATACATTGAAGGAAGACATGTCATCCTTTTTCACAGTGCCTCCTTCTTGGAAATGCCTATATGAGCAAATGGATACCTGGGCAAAATGATCATGGAACATGGCTTCTTTCTCATTCCTGTGAAATGTCTCAACACCATTCTCATTAGGACATATGTATGCATGTTCTTTTTGTCTTCCAAAAGGTTATATTATGCATTAACTCAGAGAATTTACACTAAAAAAATAAAATGGTGAGAAAACAGTGGAGAGCAGCATACATGGGGCATGCATTCAAAAGATTTTAACTTGACAACCACTTCAGAAAAAGAAGAATAAAGGTATGTAGAAACTTAGAGGTAATGTAAAGGTTTGAGATCACAGCAAAAGAAGCATTTCCAGGAGAACAGTCAATATGTCTCACATCCACTCCATTCATACATTTACCTGAGAAAAAGCCATCTCTCTTTCTCCTTCTGTGTAGATCCTCTCAAGAAATTTTATCTCAAAATTTTACCTTTCTGATAATATTTTGATTTCAAAGCAGGAAAAGCCCCATATATTTTCTACCCCACTAAGACACTGGAAGGCAGGATCAAAAAGCTCCCTCTGTGTACTATAACAGAGCAGAGATGTAGAAAAACATGAGCTCCCAGAGGCAGAGAAAATGGTAGGTTCTACTTTCATGCATTAGATAGGTAGGCTGTTTAGCCAGCATGGAAGACTTTAGTGCAGACTTGGCAGCATGATTAAATTAACTTGCTATAGCTACCAGAGCCAGGTTGGTATTTCAAGTTAAGGCTAAGCACAGGAGAATCATTAAGGATCCTCACATTCTCTTCCTCTGGGGTGGTTGATTAAAGCAAAATGAGGCTTCCATGGAGGATAACACACAGTATCTGTGATGTAGTCCCACATGAAAGTAATCATTCAACTGGGTAAAAAAATCTAGTTGTTTATGTCCAAGTAGCATGAAGGCAATACATTCCCCTCTAAAGTCTTCACTGACTTTTCCCATTGGCTACCATGATACAATTTATAATATTAAGGTTCTGCAACTTTGCAGTGAAAGACATTAAAATTTTTCACAAATTTATATTCACAAGGACATTACTTCACCCAGGATCACTGTTAAGTAATTATGGGTGAAAATGAGGAGACGGGCACTGGTGGTACATGCCTTTAATCCCAGCATGCAGGAGGCAGAGCATGGTGAATCCCTGTGTGTTTGAGGCCAGCCTGCTCTACAAACTGAGTTACAGGACAGGGTCCAAAAGCAACACAAAGAAACCCTATACTGAAAAATCAAAAAAAAGAAAGGAAGGAAGGGTGGAAGGAAGGAAGAAAGGAAGGGAGGGAAGGAGGGAGGGAGGGAGGGAGGAAACAAAAGGGAAAAAAGAAAGCAAAATGAGGAGAACTGGGTGGAATTCTTTACAATATGTGAGCTCCAAAGAACACTCTAATACCTTAAGATATTAGTAAAAAACACTGAATCCAATCCTTTATCTTCATTGTTTCTGTTGACAATTTATCAGATATTGATGGTTTCAATAAGAGGAATTCATGGAGCACTCCCTGGAAGTGACATTCACCTCATAGAAATCTGCACACATACTCAATTTATCTTTGTTTTCTACATGAATTGCATTGTAATTACTCAGACTATATTAATATTTGGAATTAACTAGACAAAATTTTATTTATTTTTGTCTTTTTCTGTCACTAAGGTAAGGTATTTACTAGAATCCGGGATGTATAACATGCATGTCTTTGTGCAGAAATGAAGAATGCACAGGAACTCCATGGTGTTGCTTAAATTTCCATATTCATTTTTCACTTCCTACAGACTATGCATATTTTTTGCAATGGAATTCTAATGAACACTAATTCCTCTCATTAAAAGGAAAGTCAAATTTTCAAAAGCTCTAAATAGGGTTAAAGAGAAACTACTCCTAAACTGAAGAAGATGCAATGACCTTGTTTGGGTATAGAATTCTGAAGCATAACCACTTCCTTCACAAATGATTAAACCTCTCACCACATTCAAGATGTGTATATCAAGACTCCACACAAAGAAAACAGACAGGAACCCAGAGAAGGAGGAATGAAAAAATGGGGGTAAAATTAAATGTAATCAGTTTAGAGAAATAGAAGCATGTTTATAACAAATAATACCAGCCATGTGTTTCTCCTTACTCACAGCAACATGACAAATTACAACTATGTTAATTTGCCTGTATTTTCCAGGAAATTTATTTGGTAACTGCATACAATCTATTGGCATCCTACAAGACAAATCTGGTATCTGAATTGCATGGTTATTAGTTGACTGGTATTATCTAGTCTTTAACTCTACTCTATCAATTCCACACCTGCAGAAGGCTCATGAGACTCACTGAGATTAGGTGAGGAATCTGCCTGGGCAGTGGAAAGATACCTTCTTTATTGATGCTTCTACCACGAGGTTCTATACCATTGATTTTTTTTATTTTTTTTCAATTTAGATTTATTTATTTATTATGTATACTTTATTCTGTCTGCATGTGTCCCTGCAGTCCAGAAGAGGGCACCAGATCTCATTACAGGTGATTGTAAGCAACCATGTGGTTGCTGAGAATTGAACTCAGGAACTCTGGGCGAGCAGTCGGTGCTCTTAAACACCGAGGCATCTCTCCAGCCCCACTAATGATTTTTAATTTTAAATTAAGGAAAATTTATATCTCGCACAAATTGAATAGATGTGTTGTCCTGAAACAGACACATTTCTATTTATGGACATAAGGCAGAGAAACACTCTGAGAGCAAATGCTCCACTAGGCTTGAGTTAAATGCTGCCTCTTTTCTCCTAATAAACTGGGATCTGCACCTTTTTCAAACTGCAGTTAGTAGTCACTTGTAAGACAGGAATCATCTATTTGTCATAAATCTTTCCTCCCTTTGTTCTTTAAGTTTCTCTTTATTGTTGACTCCAATTATTACTACAACATTCAGAAAAAAAGTCATCTGAACTAGTTTGTGGCACATTGGAAATGGAAAGTACTCTGTATTTTCCTTGAAATTTCAAGAAAAAGAAACAATTTGCCTCCATGCCTACACATAAATAAGTTTGCACATGATTACAATCAGACACATGAAAAAGCACATATGCAGTGAGGAGAGTCTTACATTGTTCAAACCTTTACTTCAGCGTAGAGACCTTCCAGTTCCTTGCACCATAGTATTCAACTACTCCACTTAATTGACACAATTAAGGAAAGAACCAGTATTGTTGACATAACTTGTTCCATAATGGCACTTCTTAACATGTGACAAAATCACTTGTTAAACAAAACCAACATTTTCTAAAGTCAGAGCTAATTCTCTTCACACTGTGTCAAGGAGCTACAACACAGAAGCACACACACACACACACACACACACACACACACACACACACACACCCCACAAAAACAAGTCTACACACAACATTAATAAAACAGAAGCCCCTTACCCTATTCTATACTCTTGAATTATTGAACTTAAGGAGACCACTGCTTTCCTGCAAAGGTGTGATCTGTAGTATCTATTGTCAAGGGAAAAAATCCTCCATTTTGTCTTCTCTGTGTGATTCAGGTCTTTGAATATGACTTCCTGAATCCAGATAATACCCAATTCATAATGTGAGCATGAGAAACAGAGAGAACAGAATACGTTATGAGAAGTCAGTAGATTTTGGATGTGTTTCACACACTCTCCTGTCATGATCAGTGAAGAAGTCTACTAATTCTCACAAGATCCATACTTTCTTTTCTTTTCTTTTTTTTTTGGTTTTTTTTTCAAGACAGGGTTTCTCTGTGTAGCTTTGCACCTTTCCTGGAACTCGCTTTGGAGACCAGGCTGGGCTCGAACTCACAGAGATCCACCTGCTTCTGCCTCCCAAGTTCTGGAATTAAAGGTGTGTGTCACCACCGCCTGGCACAAGATCCATACTTATAGTACAAGTGGCATTGCATGAGAGAAACCCCAGAACACTCACTGGACACAGATAACTGCTTGATGAGGTCAAAGCTGTTTAGAGAAAAAATAAGTCTGTTCAAAAATAAGCTAATGAAAATAATAATAATCAGTCAGGATGATAATATCTTTATTAACATAGAGATAAACATGAAGGAGACAAAATAGAAAACAATAAAACAGAACAGACAGAATTGAGGGTCCCAAATAGCGAGGCAGTGGAATAACCTGAGAGACGTGGTGGTTCAGATCCCTTTTCTGCTTTTCTATAACAGTCGAAGGTGGTTGTGATTAGGAGAGGCTTAATAATGAGACCAGAAATTTAGGAGCTAGAGGCTCAATCCATGAGGATGGCATAGATTTAATGGCTTCTACATGGCACATTTGCTTTTGTCCATGTGCTCCATGATCTACCAAATTCTGTACCAAGACATAAGAATAGAAATTGAGCCAAGTATCCTTGGAATGAAATAACACAGGCAAGGGTTCAAATAAGCTGTTCTTCATTTGAGAGGATTTTCTTCAATGCTCATAATCTTTTGTGCTTTTATATGATAGTATAGGTATACACACACCTATCTATACCCAAATGAACATGCCACATGCACTTATTTTCCTGAGGTTTTCTGTTGGAATCACCTTTCTGTGTAACAGAACTCAGTATTTCTTTTACTTACTGAGTTTCTGTTAATGTTTTCATGTGTGGAAGTTTTATTTTTACTACAAGAATTCATTTATATATTGACAACAATCAAACCTTTGCTTCAAAGTAAAGGAACAAAGGTAAAGAAATGAACAAATTAGATGTACTTCTTATTTAACAAATAGAACTTTCATTACAGAATAAATGCAGCTTGAGTTATGAATATAGCTCCAACTTTTGGTGTTTGAATGGTTTGATTTCTAGTAATGAATAAAAATTTTCTTATTTTCAGAATCTCAAAGCTCCAATATGCTGTGGGATGGTCTGTATGTCAAATTACTCTGATTGGTCAATAAATAAAACACTGATTGGCCAGTGGTTAGGCAGGAAGTATAGGCAGGACTAACAGAGAGGAGAAAAGAAAGAACAGGAAGGCAGAAGGAGTCACTGCCAGCTGCCACCATGACAAGCAGCATGTGAAGATGCCGGTAAGCCACAAGCCACATGGGAAGGTATAGATTTATGGAAATGGATTAATTTAAGCTATAAGAACAGTTAGCAAGAAGCCTGCCATTGTCATAAAGTTTGTAACCAATAAAAGTCTCTGTGTTTACTTAGTCGGGTCTGAGCGGCTGTGGGACTAGCGGGTGACAAAGATTTGTCCTGACTGTGGGCAAGGCAGGAAAACTCTAGCTACAAATGGCACCCAATGTGTTGGCAAGAGTTTCCACTTAGAACCTGAGTAAAAAGATTCCAAAACAGAGCTAAAAACAGTTCCTAGTTGTGTCTTTCAAGATAGCAGCAGCCTGCATGTTTGAGCTACTATGGCGGGTTCCTGGCATGTGCAGTTGACCTGCAGTATGGTGGGAATGAGGCCTCTGTAGGTGGCACATTAAGCTGCATGGTGAGTTTAGCCTCTGCTACTACAAAACAAAAAGAGGTTTCTGGGCTACATGCTCCCTTGATAGAAGCATAGACCCAATATTTCTGAGAGTTGATGGCTCCCAGAGCTTACGGAAAACATACCACAGCCATATTTGGAAGCTGAAGTGGGTGGAGCCAGCAGCCACAGCACCAGCACCGTTTCAGTCTTAGAATGCTGCAGTTTAAAGCAATAGGCTAAAGGTAATATAAAAAATAAGCCACATAAAGATGGCTACCTCACAGAGAATCTGGATTATGTTCTCTTTGATATTTGTAACTGAAGAAAAAAAATTGATTGCAAAAGCTGTTGAGTTATGCCAAAATGTACATTTTAATACCTTGACTTCAAAATTTGGATGTAAGGATATGTTTTGGAAAGGAGGCTCTGCTTTTGTTTCAACAGAAAGCCAGAGGCTATGGATTTGTTCCAGATTAAGATACATCAGGTTTGACCAGCCAAGACTCCCTGAAAGGTCTCCGATGACACTATGGCCCAGATGATCCAGCATCCAAAGTGGTTTGAAGACAACTGACTCAGACAATACAAACTCATGGACTATTCCATAATCCTAAAATTTTCTTTGTGTCCCCATAAGATACAGCGCCCCCCTCCAGCAGGAAGTAGTAAGGGAAGCTATGCCCAAATTCCCAAATATACCAAGCAGGCTTTGGAGATGTGTAAAAGTTAAAACCTTCCTCTTTAAAAAAAAAGAAAAGAAAAGGGGAAGTACTGTGGGATGGTCTGTATGTCAAAGTACTATGATTGGTCAATAAAAAAAACACTGATTGGCCAGTGGTTGGCAGGAAGTATAGGCAGGACTAACAGAGAGGAGAAAAGAAAGAACAGGAAGGCAGAAGGAGTCACTGCCAGCTGCCACCATGACAAGCAGCATGTGAAGATGCCGGTAAGCCACAAGCCACATGGCAAGGTATAGATTAATGGAAATGGATTAATTTAAGCTATAAGAACAGTTAGCAAGAAGCCTGCCATGGTCATACAATTTGTAACCAAGAAAAGTCTCTGTGTTTACTTGGTTGGGTCTAAGTGGCTGTGGGACTGGCAGGTGACAAAGATTTGTCCTGACTGTGGGCCAGGCAGGAAAGCTCTAGCTATACCAATATGACATTGACTGATTGCTAAAAATCAGCATGGTGTATTCTACAATATGAGATATGGAGTAAGATTAAGGAAATATTCAGTGAAGTTTTATGATATTAAGGATACCATATCCTTAATATCAAGTATAAATATTCATTCAACTTATACTCAACAACATTCTTTTAAATGATTAAAGAGTGACAATAATCTTCAATAAAAATAATTGTGGGTAAGGATATATGATATATTTCAGGATTAAGTTCTGTAAGAAAAGATCCTGCATGTCATAGTTATATTGGATCATACTGGGGCATTTGTATTACTTTCTCTATGAAATGAATAACTTGTGAAAGTTTAAAGGTTTGGATGATTTTTCTGTGACATATAGATGGTTTTACTTTATATTATTAAACTCAAAACAGTTTATGAAATCAAATTCAGCTGCCGCGGGAATCCAACATTTCAATTTACTTGGATAGAACACTCATTTTAGCTCTTGCAAAGTATTTGTAGGTTACTTGAGGAGCCCTTTTGTCAATTTTGGAGATGTGTTAAAAAATACTAGGCTATCTGGGGTCTAGCTTGAAATCGCTTAACAGTATTTAAAGCATAAGTTACATCTTTCTTATTGTTGCTTATATGTATACCTCTCTACATAGTCAGTTTATAGAAACCATACAGCCAAAGTTCTCAACATGTGGATCATATTCATTTGGGGGGTCCAAAGACCCTTTGCCAAGGGTCATCACAGATCATTAGAAATATCAGATATTTACATGAAAATTCATAACAGGAACAAAATTATACTTATGAAAAAGCAACAAAAATACTTTTATACTTTAAGGTGATAAAAAATGAAGACCTGTATTAAAATGTCACAGTATTAGGAATGTTAAAAATGGCTGTGCTACACTGAGACTCATCAGTAGTCAATATACAAACAACATATGTTTGTTTTTGTCTGTGTGGTTGTATTCTTTATTCTAAAAATTTAATAATTTATTATTTTACATCCTGATCACACTTTCCCCTCCCTCCTTTCCTCCAATTACCTTCCTAGCTTCCCTCCACACTGTATTCCACTGCCTCTCTGTCTCTGGTAAGAAAGTTGCCAGCCTCCAATATACATAGGCTAAGCATGGCATATAAAGTTGCTGTAAGACTAAGAACCTCCCCTTGTAGTTAACTAAGAAAGACAATCTAGTAAGACGAATAAGCTCTAAAGAGCCCACCAAAGAATTAGGAATAGACCCTCCCCCCATTGTAAGGAGTTCCAAAAATAGACAAACTACAAATATGTTACATATATGTAGAGGGTGGAGTTTGGTTCCATGAAGGCTCCCTGCTTGCTGGTTAAGACTTGTGTGTTCCTGGAATAGAGAGGAAAAGGATTGTAGGAACCAGGGGGATCAAGCATTATCTTATCTCAATGTGAAAATAGAGACATAATTTGCTTAAAATAATCTTGTTGTCTCCTTCCTTTTGGAATTCACAATATTGCTATTTGCATATGCTTATTTCCACTGGTACAGTTTTCTATAGAACCTATTTTAATGATATGTTTTTATTAGCACTGTCATTTCTGGAACATTTAATCTTCATTATGCCATCCTCACACTAAATGAAGGTTTATCTCATCAAGGTAAATTAAAATCAACAGAAAGTATACTACATTTATTTGGGCTTGTAAAAACAGGGAATCAATATGAAGTTAAAAACAATCATTAATATACACTCTAAAAAAGCTAAAATACTGGGATTATAATAATGATATAGAATATATAGAATATAATAATCTCACACAGAAGACAATATCATCAACAAATTGCAAAAAAAATGTTATGTAGTCATTTCAACTTTCTATTGTAGTCAATAATCATCTATTAGCAAAAATTCTTGTTTCACATTGCTGTTGCTTTAGTATTTTCAAACAAATACTCCTTGAAATTAATAAGTTGATAGTTTAGTAAAACAATATCCATAGCAAATGTTTCAATAAGCATTTAGTAATTATAAGGTCTACTCCTGAATTAACACTTTCAAATTCACATCAATGGTAGAGCTTCCTAAAGTGATGTTTGTGATGTTGAATCAGGAGTGAATATTGATCAAAGATTTTGTATATTCCATACATTTTGAAGGAAATTTTATTGCATAAATATAGTGATACTGAAATACATTTAATAATTATTATAGTTTTTTTAAGATTCTTATAACTTTTCTGATGTCTTCTAAGGTGAGAGCTCATGAGAAGTATTTTTCCACATTCTTCATATTTGTAAATATTTTCTTTAGAATGAGTTCAGGGAAGATGAAGTGTTGAGGATTTGGTTAAAAAATTTTCACCATCTTTACATTTATAAGGCTTGGCTCAGATGTGAGTTCTCTGATGAACATTAATAGAAAGCAAAGGGTAAAAGACAATACATTTTTAATATTTCTATGGTTTGTCTCTAGTATGGATTCTCTGATGAACACTAAGAGAAGAGCCATGCCTAAAACATTTTGCACAGTCATAACATTTATAAGGTTTTTCTCCAGTATGGATTCTCTGATGAACATGAAGAGATGATCGATCCCTGAAGTACTTCCCACAGTCATCACATTGATAAGGTTTCTCTCCAGTATGGATTCTCCTATGATATTGAAGATGGGAGGACTTAATAAAGGACTTTCCACAGTCATCACATGTATAAGGTTTCTCTCCAGTATGGATTCTACAATGAATATGAAGAGATGCTCCATCCCTGAAGTACTTTCCACATTCATCACATTGATAAGGTTTCTCGCCAGTATGGATTCTCCTATGACATTGAAGACTGGAGTACTGGACAAAGGACTTTCCACATTCATCACATTTATAAGGTTTCTCTCCAGTATGGATTCTCCTATGACATTGAAGATGGGAGGACTTAATAAAGGACTTTCCACATTCATCACATTTATAAGGTTTTTCTCCAGTATGGATTCTCTGATGAACATGAAGAGATGATCCATCTCTAAAGTACTTTCCACAGTCAGCACATTGATAAGGTTTCTCTCCAGTATGGATTCTCCTATGATATTTAAGATTGGTGGAATTAACAAAAGACTTTCCACATTCATCACATTTATAAGGTTTCTCTCCAGTATGGGTTCTCCTATGACATTGAAGATGGGAGGACTGGACAAAGGACTTTCCACAGTCATCACATTTATAAGGTTTCTCTCCAGTATGGATTCTCCTATGACATTGAAGTTTGGAGGAATTAACAAAAGACTTTCCACATTCATCACATTTATAAGGTTTCTCTCCAGTATGAATTCTCTGATGAACATGAAGAGATAAGCACCTAGTAAAGGATTTTCCACATGTATCACATTTATAAGGTTTCTTCCCCACATGGATTCTGTGGTGAACTTTAAGGGATGAACTTTTCCTAAAGGATTTTCCACATTCTTCACATTTATAAGGGTTCTCTCTCATATGGATTCTGTGATGAATATGAAGGTATGAAAATTTGCTATAGGACTTTCCACAATCATTGCATCTGTGTGGTTTCTTTTCTGCAGTGTGACTTGAATCATTCTGAATGATATTTGAATTGAAATCAAATAATTTATCACATTCTTTAATCTGGCAAAATTTTATTCCTGTATGCTTCATATTATCCATCTCCAGATTTGAGGATTCAATTGTTACCTTCTTACATGCATCACCTCTGAGTCTCTCATAAATTTCTTGAGTACTAGTTCCATTATTCTGAATACAGTTTGAGAATTCATTAAGAATTTGGTCATGGTGTTTGCTTGTCCTGTGCTTCTCTTGGCTATGTTCATGTTTGTGCAAAGAAGTATTTGAGTACTTATGAAAAACTTTCTGATGTTCATGGATTTCAAAATGATTAACTGTTGAACAAGTATTTATGTGAGAATTACTAGGAATTACATCATTAGTAGAGTAAGTCCATGAGTTCTTTCCACTAACAGGTATTTCAAACTGACTATTCTGGTAATTATTTACCAAAGAAAACTTAGCAAGGTCATTATCAACATCCGTAAATTTATTGGAATTTTCACAACTTCTTTCCTTATGATACATATTATGCCACATTTCATTCCTAAAATATTTATGTTCATCTAAATTTTGGAGGTTGTCATATAGTGGAAGTAATTGTTCAGGAACCTCTACTGAATTTTGAGTATAGGAAATACCACACTGCTGACAATTCAAATATTTTTCTGTGCCTAAAGAACTCCTTTCTTCAGGGACTACTGGAGTATCATTTAATTGCACAACACTTGAAAAGTGTTGCAAAGACTTTGAAGTGTTACACTGTGTGTCCCCTTGTGAAGTTTTCACATATCCATGTAGAATAAAGCCAGGTGCCCATGCTTGGGGTGAATATTTTTCTATATAATCATTTGATTCTGAACTTGTAACTGACACAGAATATGATCTCTTTGGACACACCAGAGGTTCTTGATATTTTTCATAAATAATGCCTTTGGCATGTTTTTCATAAACATCACTCTCATAACAACATGACTCATATTCTCTGTTGTCACCATGATAATCCCAGAACTTCCTTGTATGTAACATGTCAAGACCAATAGTTTCAAATAAGCCTGGTTTTTCTTCCTGTAAAGAATCTTGTTTGTTCTTCTGTTGGGAGACCTCCTGGGTCTGGTAAAATGACAGAACTGAAAGAAATGAAAAGAAATACACTCTTGATTTGTAAAATAATTTGAAAACAATATGAGAGTATAATGCATAAAATGACAGCTGTCTGGGGAATATATCAAGTTTGTAATATAGGAAATTTTCAAAGTTTTGCTGTAGGAAATAAATGTGCTTATGAAAAATGAGAGAAATTCACAGAATGTTTGACCTTCATAAGGTCATGTAACAGGCAAACATAGACAACAGTTTCAGAAAAATATTGGAGCTCTCTCCCACTTGCCATGTGCATGAGGAACATGTCTATTGTATTCCTTGCTATGATTCTTTCTGCTTACACAATCATAATCCAAGAGATCATACTTTTTTGTTGACTCTACTCCTCCTTGTGAACATCCACTTCTTTCCTATTTCCTTAACAGGGCAACTTGGATTGCACCCCTACTCATTTTCTCCCACAAAGACAGCACAAACCAGAACCTGCTCAATCATGTCTGCCATCTGTTCTGTATTATTACTATGCTCCATAAAAGTGGGTAAGTAGGTTGTTGCCAGCATATCCTCTCATCTACACAAAACAATTGCATAAATAATTTATAATCACCTGACTCTGTAATTTCCTGAACACATGTTCAACATAGAAACTACAACCTGTTCTGCTAACTCTTACAAACACTATGAAGGGCTCTGACATTCTCCTATTACTAGCAAGGGAGCAAGGCACTCCCAATTCTCCTTCATGCAAATCATGAGCACTTTTGATCCCAATCTGGCACCATACATTTTATACTTGTTATCAGACCGGTGATTCCACAATATCTGCTCATCTACATTCCATCACCAATCCATTGTTCTAGCCTGTATTCTACCCTATGTGCCCATATTTAGACTGATAATCTCTGTCCAGAATACTCCTACATTCACCCTTTCAATGGGATGACCATCTTGTAATTCTGCCCATCCCCTGTGCCTACTTACACCCCACCACCCATGCTATATGTAGCCTTCACACCCAAGTTTCCCTGTATTCATTGTTGCCTGTTAAGTCTTCATTGTGCATAAAAGACACAGAAATTACAGAAGAGTTCGCAGGACCAATTTTGATCACAAGAACATGATTACTATATATGCTAGTTTGAATAACATTGTTCCCTAAAGGTCACACAATTGACAACTTTGTTTTCATGTAGCCACATTACTTGACTCAAAGTATGGTGTTAATGCATAAAATGTGTGACTGAGTTAGGACCTTTAAATGTAGGAACTGTACACTATCTTTAGTTTCCTTTCTGGTGCTTGCTTGAAATTTGAAATTTGAACATTATCTGTTCTTTCTACAATTACTGCCTCTTGACTTCACCCCATGGCATAATAGAGTCTTATTTTCATGGTATCATAAGCCCAATGAAACTCTTAGTTTTACACATTTTCCTGATAATGGTGTTTAATTAAAATAAAAGGAAATCACACATAGACTATAAAGAATAAAGCCAGCATTTTACCCCTGCCCCCAAAGTCTATCTGTCTCATAGAAGTATTCTTCAATCCATAATTGCCATGATACAGAAGATGGAAGAACTATCATGAACACTATTAAAGTAGTCAAAGTGCTTAAATAAGACAGAGACAAACAGCCCAATAAAATTAATGAAGAGAAACTAAAAAACCTGAGTGATGTAAGAGACAACAGAGACATAAATGAAGACAGTCCAATCTCAAAAAATTCAAAAAAAAGTATAAATTTATTGATGAGAATTCAGTCTAAAGTGAAGTTGTAACAGGAAACTAATTAGATAAGTCAAGATAAAGCTTTTTAAGTGAGACAGAAAAATAGCAAATATAATATCAAAACTCAATAAAAACAAGAAGAGTAATTTAACTGCATATCAGAAACACACACATATATTTGTATATTTAAATATAGCACTAAAAATATTACACAGGTAATGATCAACACCATAGTAACATGAATATATATATATATATATGTGTGTGTGTGTGTGTGTGTGTGTGTGTAAGATAAGAATCTTACCTCAATGGCATAGATAAAATCTTCCCCAAGATCATGAAAGACAAATTTGCCAAACTCAAGAAAGTCATAACATTTTAGATACTGGAGACATTCCAACACCAAATAGGCAAAAATATAAAAAGAAATACCACACAGCAAGCCCTAGTTAATATGCAAAACAAAACAAGAGCATTAAAATATGAAGAAGTGTGGGCTGGAGAGATGGCACAGTGGTTAAAAGCACTGGCTGCTTTCCCAGAGGACCCAGGTTCGATTCCTAGCATCCACATGGCAGCTCACAGCTAGCTGTCTGTAACTCCAGTTCCAGGAGATCTGATACCTTCACACCAATGCACATAAAATAAAATTAAATTATAAAAAGTAAAATAAAATATGACAAAGGGAATTAAATGTCTCATATAAAGGAAAGCCCATTAAAGTAACAGCTTATTTCAGAGGAGAAGGTACTAACCAAAAGAGCCAGGGACAGTGCAATTCTAAAGAGAATATGGGCCTATACTGACTACAGTAGTAAGCAAAACTGTCTGTTATAATTGAGGGGAAGGGATTTTTTTATGAATTAGAAGTTATGAAATGATTCATAACATGCACACCCATGGAAAACAAGAGACAGGAAACAGTATTTAAGACTGACAGGCAACTCCCGCCAGAACAACAGATATACTAACTGCAGACCTTCACCTCAACTTTTCTTTTCTTAATCCAATCCCACAGTACCATCTTCAGCTCTGATAAAATGGCCTGCTGCAGGTTCCCTGCTGCCTGTGATTTCATCTCCAATGGTTAAAACACATCTTCCAATTCCAACATGATTTTTCACAACCTTTCTTGATCTCAGCACCCAACTCTGGCAGGAATTCCCTGGAACTCCAAAGCCCCTCCTGCCAGGTAAGAAGTAAACTCCAGGACTTCACCTCTCACCATGGCTCTTTAAGTCCAATGTAATCAATTCATCCCAAGATCTGTAGCAGAACTGCAGCAGCCTCATCCTTCCCTATGTCAGAGTATCCCACAACCCACCACTGAACCTTCCTTCTATTCCTGATTGCATTGTCCACACTCCAAATCCAGCAGAAACAAAGACCCAGGAACCCAACTGGGAAGGGATGCAGGGAGGCAAATTGCTGATTTTCACCTTTTTCTCTGCTCTTCTAAATCTATCCCCCAAGACTCATCCCCAGATCTGGAAGAAAACACAACAACATCTGAAGACATTTCTTCCCTCCTGCACTAATGTAAAAGGATCACACAGATTTCCCCATCCAAATTGTCATCTCATAACTCATTGATTTGTTCCTACTTGAAACTCCAGCAGTAATTCTCTTCTAACAGAGGCCATCCTTACCAGGGAATCAAAGACACTAGTTGCACATTATCAATTCTGCATCCATGCCCCCATGTCCTATCTCCCAATCTCATCCTCAGACCTTTATCAGACATTCTGCTATTGACTCTACTCACTCATGGTCCACTTATTAGTGGATAAGAGCCATGAAGACAATGATAACAAAGCTACAATCTGTAGAAGCACAAGGGGAATGAAACAGATATATCTTCTTTAGGAAGGGAAATAGAATAAACAAGTATGAATAGATAGTGTAGGGTGAATAGAGATGGGGTTCTAGGCAGGAGTACAGGTTGAGACTGATAAAAGTAATGGGCATTTGAGGTGTAGCATTGAAACCAAATTCAGTAGGAACTTCCAGAATTATACATGAAAGATATCAAAAAAATATTGCTAAATAATAGGGGAATCAGAGTCCAAAATCACTCTCTTTTATGATCTAAAACAGATTTCAGTATAAAAATTGTGTTCCAAACAATTGAATGTTAGCAAATTAGACCAAAGTATATACCCAAACATGCCTGGCATTTGCCAGTTCTACCCCTTCCTCTCTGAACTGAAAATAAAGTTTAATTACTGAAGACAATAATGATAAAAATCATTGAAAATTGAGACATAGGCCTAGTGCCTACAGAGAGCACTAAACCCCTATTTTCTTTGATAGAAGAACAACTTCTGCATTTTAAACAGAAACATAAGCCAACCCAGCCCAAACAGCTATTTTCTTCAATGGTATTCTGCCATTGAATACCATTTTGTTGCCACAAAACAAAGATTGATGGAGCAAGTAACCAATAATTGATTTGAATTAAGGCCATTTCTCTAGATGGATACCATACCTGACATTTATTAGATGACCATAAACTTGATACTAGAAAGCCCATGGGATTAGGATAAAACAACATACTACTTATCTAAAGGAAGAAAAATGTAGCAATAAAATGACTCCTCATGACATTCTTCAATACTCATAGGTCAGTGTGTTATTTACATGTTATCAGGGAAGGTTTCTCCTAAAGAACATATAAAAATATATAGACATACTGCCAGAAATTCTACATGGAGTCAGAGACCTTGAACACTCAACTCTAAATGAGATCTTTCTATCGAATACCTCCCCTCCATTGCTCAGGCAACCCTCGAGAAGAGGAGGTGGAGATAGTGTAAGAGACACAGGGATGGAAAATATCAAGGAAACAAGGCCCTCTAAATTAACATGGGGGAATTTCATATGAACTCAGAGAGAATGAAGCAACAAACACAGGGACTTCACAGGTTCGTTCAAATTTTGTGTGTAAAAATTATGGCTTCTGCTTTAATGGTTTTATGGGATTATTGAGCATGACAATGAGTTGATCTTTGATTATTATGTCTGTTCTTTGACTTTTTTGTTCTGTTGTTTTTTTTCTTGTAAAAATCCAATATGATAGATTTAATCTTATAAGAATTAATTTTGTTATATTTAAAAATAATCAAAGATTGAATTAAACCAAACCACTATTTTACATGTGAACAAGTGAACTGACACTTAATATACTGAGACACAACATAACTTTTCTCCAATAGAGTGACACTCAGTCTATCTATAGGTCTTTCAATTTTTCAGTTGCCTAAGAATATCTTAATTTGATAAAAAGACTTGCCTTTCATCTCAGCATTTGAAAGGCAGAGGCAGGTGATTCTCTATGGTTATGAGGCCATCCTGAGCTACATATTCAGTTCCTGGCTGACCAGGGCTACATGGTTACAGACCCTGTCTCAAAAAAGAGGAAACATGAGAAAAGCAAATTATATGTCCAGGCAATAAAAAAATATGCCAAGTTGCCCATTGCAACATTAAGATGGATGGGTTTCTCTTCTGTAAAACTAGTTGTCAGCAAAGCAGACCTTGATCTTGGCCTCACTATGTCCTGTCCTAGTGTAACTAACTGATAGAAACATCCCAGATGGCCCTTCGATGTGAATCACAGTCTGACTTTTTCTTGAAGTTCTCTTCAATGACTTGAATGCAGACTATGAATGGTGGCATTCTGTATTTTGCAAAAAGTCTTAGATCTCTAATAAGTTTCTATTCAAAAACACAAAAAAGCAAGCTGGACAGTGGTGGCACATGCCTTTAGTCCCAGCACTCAGGACACAGAGGTTTTAATCTCAGAACTCTGGGGGCAGAGGCAGGCAAATCTCTGTGAGTTCCTGGCCAGCCTAGACTACAGAGCAAGTTACTGGACAGCCAGGGCAGTTACACAGAGAAACTCTGTCCCCCCAAAAGCACCACATTGATTAAAGGCCTACTGAATAAAATTTATATTTTCAAGTAGACTGGAAGGTAGAATCTATTTCAAAATAAAATATCATAACTCAGGGTTTACATGTGAAATTCAAAAAAAATTTTAAGTGTAAATTATTTTAAATATAATTATAATTTCATTTTAACATTATCCCTGCCACTTTCCCTCCAACTCCTCCCATATCGTCAAATCAATAATATAACCTCCAGTTGATAATTGTTACAGTTACATATTTATGTAAATATTTTTTCAAGTATACATACAAAATATGTAACTTCAGAATGTTAGTCCAGCTTTATTGTTAATGATTATACCATTTCAAGTCTCACCAGTTTGCATTAGACAAGCACTAACAGGGATAACCCATGGCAAATGGCAATTCTCCTTTTCACAGCATTCAATAGGTGTCTATCATTCTTTGATTAGAGATTTGAGATAGAGGGACACTATGAGTTGGGAAACAAAAATTTGGGAAAATTTTTCAGTTATGATGGAAGGAAAGCCAGTACAACAGGTGAAAGAGAGACTAGCAATAACCTTAGCACCAAGCATAAGAATTTTGATTTAAATTTTCTGGTATAAAATACATATTGTGTGTAATATAGATACTATGACATATCTGTTCCTACCTGTATCCCCTTGAATGTCATATCATCTTAGACTGACACTTAAGTCTTCAAGCATAACATATAATAGATATGGAGAGAGTGAGTATCCTTTATTTTCCCATTTATAGAAGAACTGCTTTGAGCTTTCTCCATTTAAAATGTTTATGTTGGTAATTACTTGCAACAAACATATTCTATTATATGTAGATGTGTTCCTCCTACAGTTAAATTTTATAATGAAGTGGTGTGTTTGTCAAAAGCCTTTTCTGAATTTAATGAAGAGATCATTTGGGCTCTCATAGACTGTTCTTCTTATGTATTACATGTATTGATTTACTTACATTGATTCTCATTAGCATCTCTTTGGTGAAGCCACCTTGATCCTAGTAGACAATTATTTTCATGTGTTCTTGAAATGGAAATTTTCCATTTTGTCTTATAATTGCAAATGTATTGGTGTTAGTTTTTCTCTAATTATCTGGAGGGATTCTTTCCTGAATTCATCTGGCTTTCTTAAGTTGAGCTTTTTTTTTGTTGTTGTTCCTTCTGTTCAACTTATGAACATGTGACATGATAAATTATTTATGTCATTTGATTTATCTTTGTTAGGTTCTATGCTAAGAAATTCACTCATTTGTTTTTGATATTATACATATTGTAGGTAAATGGATAAAACTGAGAAGAATTATACTAAGTAACATAACCCAGAAAGACAAATGCTGCATATTTTCTCAAATTTATGGATGCTAGCTTTTAAGATTTTAGTCTCTATGTTTTCTAGAGGTTTTAGTTAGCTAGTATGGGACCAAATGGGATATTGGGATTTTCAACAGAAGGGATAATTAAAAATATCACTGTTAAAAAAAGGAGAAATTAAATGAGTATTAGGTCATGAAAGTGATGATAGAGTAGTGTAGAAGAGCAAATACAAAGAGGAGTTACTATGATTATAGGCCTGTTGTTGATAATCTTAAACATTTATTTATATATTTATTGACTCTACATATATGGGCATACATATGATTGGATGGTAGTTTTCAGAAACCTCGTTCTACTGTCTTTGTCCTGGCGATTGAACTCTGCAATTCAGATTTGCAGGAAAGTATTTTTATCTCTCTGGACCACTGGAGAAATCTTTTGAAGAAACATAGACAACTGTACTTCTATAGAATCTTGTTAAAACATGTGCATATCTAAAAACAATTTAAATGTCTTTACTACTTGATGGTGTATCCAATACCCAAACTTGAAGTCATGTGCCAACAAATAATGCTCTATTGTTTACCATTAGATTTGTGCATCACTCATCCTTCACTAAAGAAGCTTAATGTGGCCGGGTGGTGGTGGTGCACACCTTTAATCCCAGAACTCATGAGGCAGAGCCAGGTGGCTCTCTGTGAGTTCAAAGCCAATGTGGGCTACCAAGTGAATTCCAGGAAAGGCACAAAGCTACACAGACAAACCCTGTCTCCAAAAAACAAAACAAAACAAAAAACAACAACAAAAAACAACAACAAAAGAAGCTTAATGTGAAGATTTTGGAGAACCAATCCCTACCTGGGATTCCTTTATCTTAATCCTTGCATCAGGGTTCAGGCACATATGAATAAATGGATGCAGAGAGAACATAAAGACAAAAAATGGTAAATGACTCTAGGGAAGAAGTTTATAAATAGTATAAGAGTAATGGCCATATAATCACCAAGTCTGTGACAGCAAGGCCAAAACCCACAGAAACTCAACACAGACAAAATCTCAGCTTGTAAAGTCGAAAGTAGAACAATAGTCATAACTTTTTGACAAGAACATGTGCACTCCTTAGCTTTCATGAGTCAGAAAATCAGTTTTTCAATTGAGTAACACCAGGGTATATCAATCATATTCAGAGTCATGTGTTCAGAAATAGTTGGCCAGCAGAAATCTTCCTCAATATTTTAATGTATTTTCTGTTTGTTATTTCTTTGATAGAGAGAATGAGATGGGATATGGGAATCAGGACATTAGGTTAGTGTGGTAAAGGGATGGTATGCAAGAGGTAAAAGAAATAACAATAAATTGATCCAGAAATATTGTAAAAATTTTCAAAAAATACAGAAAAACACTAGAATCACTGTCATATAGGAAAAAATCTGGGCATTTATTGGAAAACAAAGCACCACAAACATTGTCAAATTACTATTGGCATTCTAAATTTCACCTACTCACTATTCTGAATAAATGAGGGAAAATCATGTAAAATTCTCTGTGTGCTTGATCCTAGTACACAATTCTAAATGAAATTCTCAGGCATCACTTCTCGTGAGGATCTAGGCTAATCCAAATGAAGTCATTATTTGTTTCTTTCTTTGTACTTGACAAATGAACCAGTTCCCTTCCAACTCACCTGAGTCTCTACCTTCTACTTCCCCTATGTTCATGATCCAGGGTTCTTTGTTCTGTTCAAGACAGGTAACTAGCTCTGGTTTTGATACAGAAAGGCCTGTGAATTAGAGGAGAGATATGAAAATTACTTAACATGATGTGGAAAAGGGTTGGGATCTAACACAGGCTTATACTCAGTGGATATGAAGTTACATAAAGAAAGACTCATAAGTAGAGTCTTTTTACTATATACTTGACAGGTGCTGTAGACTTTTAAGAAAACTTAATGTTCATTTTGTATACATTCACCTTTCCTTTAATTACCCCATTACAAAAACAAAACTGTTGGAATCAAACTGTGTTCACAAATTATTGTGACTGACTGACTGCAAATACTTGGATTTAAGGAACTATTAGGCTAAATTAAAAGGCCATTTAAAATTTAAATTAGAAAAATTTCAGTCACTATTACACTCACCAAAATGTAGAAATAATTGGAATTCATTGAGAGAAAACATTTCAAATACTAATACAAGTTGCTAGACATTCCTAGTGCTAAGCAGCAATCATGAAAGAATTTATTCTCACCTACAGAAACCAGGTTGCTGTAGTTCTCCAACATGACCTCTCTGTATAAATCCCTCTGAGATGTGTCCAGGCATTCCCATTCCTCCTTGGAGAAACTGATGGCCACGTCTTTGAAAGTCAATGGACTCTGAAGTGAAAATTCAAATTTTCTTTGTTATGTTGGTTTGAGTCCTTATTTGCCCCACAAAAGAGTATTTAACTAAATAAATCCCTATATTATCAGTAATCAATCTTCAATTTTCAAATGTTATACATTAAGAGGGATGATGTTGTGACACTTTCATGAGATCAAAGTGCCCAACATCTAAACATTTCATGAAATATGTGCTTTTTCTCAGTGATAACATGTGAAGTTGTCCTCAGTATGAATTGAGTTACAGTGTTCATCTCTAATATGAGAAAATTTATAAACACTTCAGATCATGAAGTCATATAGAAAAGTCGTATTGGGAAATAAAAGAGTCAGGAAAGAATTAAAATCAGGATTTAGAACAGAAATGACGGTGATAATAAAGAATTTATTTCAAAAATATAAGAAAATATAAAAATATAGTTTTGTAAGAGTTTTTGAGAGCTCTGCAAATGAAGCACTTATGTGTGCAATGTCAATCTGTTCCATCCTTGTGCAAGCATTTACCTGAGAACATGCCATCTGTTCTTCCCCTTTCCTATGGATCCTGTCAGGAAGTTTATCTTTTTATTTTTTTATTTTATTTTATTTTTTTTGGTTTATTGAGACAGGGTTTCTCTGTGTGGTTTTGGAGCCATTCCTGGAACTCACTCTGTAGCCCAGAATGGCCTGGAATTCACAGAGATTCACCTGCCTCTGCCTCTAGAGTGCTGGGATTAAAGGTATGTGCCATGACCGCTTGGTCAGGAAGTTCATCTTAAAGTTTCATTTTTCTGATACTATTCTGTATGCAAAGGTAGCAGCAGCTGTACTCCCTGCTACCACACTCAGAGACCAGAAAGCAGGTAAAAAAATGTCCTCAATCAGTGATTTGGGACATAGCAGAGATGCAGAGATCATGAATTTTTACAGAGAGATCAAAACTTATTTTCTCCTTTTCTGCATTGAGAGGGTCTGTTATTCCAGCAGATCATGGTAATTTCTACAACCTGGGTATGTGGCCTCACTACCCTGCTTTTTACTGTGCACAGACATTTTAAATTGAGTCTGAATGCAATTGTAAGAAATTGTAGTGATCTTTTCCTCACATTCCATTTCCCTGACATTATTTATTAAAACATAACAGACACCTGTATTTGAAATAGTGCATGGAATCTGAGCTGTAGCCTCAAATGAATGTATTTCTCACCCTGGCTTAAGTAATACACTTGCCTACAACCAAGGCACAGTAGAAATTTGATACCTCAACAGTGTCTCCAATGAGGCATTCCCTTTAGTTTTCATGTTTCATTCTACAATTCCACTATTTTTCAGTTTTGCAGAAAAACAATGATTAGATTCTCTTTTAAGTTTATTTTAAATAGTGAAAATCTTTCTTTTGGATTCACTTGCAAACACTGTATCTAAATAATGGCATCCTTGCACCCAGGTTAATATTGTTGGTCGTTAATGAAGACACTTCAACTCCTACCACCTAAAATTTCCTTGTTGAGACTTATTGTTTGTGAAATCAATATGAATATAAATACACTATGCCTACAAATTTTCCATTAGTTCATTTGTTCAAAAATGTACTCTATAACCATAGGATGTAATATTGCCTCAGCTCTCAGGTGAGTGATTGTTAGCATGTGTCAGCGCAACAGAAGGGCATTGCAAGTTCACTGTAGGGTTAATAGATAGCAAAGAGAAACAATAGAATAGACTCTCTGAATCCAGCCACAAAACAGGACAATAAGCAGAAGAAAACTTGCCTGATAAGATAATTTCATATCACGTTATGACTGGCAAATTCCATTTGGAAGTTTATATTACATTTAAATACCTCAACCTTGTATATAACACAGTATGTCTTTCATAGAAATAATAATTTAAACCTTATCCATTGACAGGAAGACATTCCATCCTTTTTCATAGTGCCTCTTTCTTCAACAGTCTGTACTGAGCAAATAGATACCTGAGTAAAAGGATCAAGGAACATAGTTTTTTTTTTTTCTCATTCATATGATATGACTCAATTCCATTTTCTTAAGACATGGGTATGCATGTATTTTTGTATATCAAATTTTTATACTATGCATTAGTGCAGAGGATTTTTTTGAAAAATAAAGTGAGAGAACAGTGGAAAGCGGCACACACTCATGTGACATGCATTCAAAAAAACTTTACCTTGACAACCACATCATAAATAGAAAAAAAGAGCCTTGTAAAAACTTTGAGATAATGTAAATGTTTGGGATCACCACAAAAGAAGCATTTGTAGGAGAACAGGCAACAAATCTCACCTCCATACACACATTTACCTGAGAAAAATTGATCTCTTTTTTCCCTTCCATCTGAATCCTCTCAGGAAACTTTATCTCAAAATTTCACCTTTCTGATAATATTTGGGGTTTCAAAGCAAGAAAACCCTTGTATACTTTCTACCACACTAAGAGACAGGAAGGAGGATCAAAAACCTCACTCTCTGTACTTTATTGGAGCAGTGATGTAGAAAAACATGAGCTCCCAGAAACAGACAAAACTCAACGTTCTACTTTCCTGCATTCATGTAGGTGACTGTTTGGCCAGCATGAATGACTTTAGCACAGACCTGGCAACATGGTTAAATTGACTTGCTAGAGCTAGCAGAGTCAGGTGGGCATTTCAAATTGATGCTGAGCACAGCTGACATTGAGAAGCATTAAGAACCCTCACATTCTCTTACTGTGAGGTAGTTGATTAAAGCAAACAGTAGCTGTGGGGTAGTTGCAGGTGAAAGTAATTCAAGCTGGGCGGTGGTGGTGCACGCCTTTAATCCCAGCACTCAGGAGGCAGAGGCAGGTGGATCTCTGTGAGTTCAAGGCCAGCCTGGTCTACCACGTGAGTTCTAGGAAAGGCGTAAAGCTACACAGAGAAACCCTTTCTCGAATAACAAAACAAAACAAAACAAACAAAGAAACAAAAAAAGATGTATACCCAGAGAGAAATAATGTTAGTACTTGGTGTGCTCTAATACAAATCCCTTGTCTCTGTAGCACATGGCCATAAAGCCTGTTTCAACTTTTTAACAGAATTTTTTGGTTTTATAATTACATCATTTCCACTGTATTATTTCCTACCTCCAATCCCTCCCATAGACCACTGTGTTTTAATTCATGGTCTCTTTTTGTTTAATAACAGATATGGTTTGAATGAGACTTGTGTTTGGTTGCAGCTATGAAATACAGGGCTGTCTACTCTGAACATTTACTGTTAAAGGAATGTGTACAAATAGGACCTTTAGAAGAGGAACAGGAAGTGCTCTGGGAGAATGGAGGATTTTACTGAACTACGAAATTCCTGGAATAGGATCCTGTCTGACCACAGTGTGGAAGGATCAACCTGGGAAGGTTTTTTGCTCTCTGAGTAATTTCATCTGTGCTCACCCAGTAGGGGAGCTGTTAATATTGTGAGGCCCAGCATGGTAGGCCTAGCTGTGGCCCTAGCCAATGAGGAACTCTGGGAAGGCTTAGCAATTAGGAGAACTAGTGGAAGGTGGCTTGCAGGTTCTTTCCAGGATTCTCCTCTGCTTCTGCTGTAGTGTGTTGTAAAGATGACCACAAGATATACCATGGTGAGTGTAGAGTGTTCATAGCAGGTCTGCTGAGCTGTCATTTCTGTTGGGATTTGGATCAACCATGTGTCAGACTGTGGTTCTGTTGGTTCATGTGGCACCTGGGCAGTGGCCCTTGTTCTCTGAGCCTCACTGTGTGTGGATTTCTTGGGTAGGGAAAGACTCTGCAGTCCTGGCATGGGAGGATATGATGCTTGTAGTGTCACTGCCCAGTGTGCACAAATGGGCATGCTTTTGGTGTGCAGTTGGAAGACAGTTTGGAAAATTGAAGGTCTAATTTCTGTAAGTTTGAATATTGCATTCCACTTTTAGGTTGTCTCCAGATGTTTCAATAGTTTAGAAATTGGTAGAAAGATGCTGATGGGGATTGTTTTTCAGCAATATATGGTTAGAAAGCTCTAGGTTTCTGCTACTACCAGCCACAGTAGTGTGTTTCTATAAAGTTTAGTTCCAGGGGACAAAAGGAGTTTCTTATCTTCTGAGTTTTCTTGTGTGTGCATGATGTTGGATGGGCAGAAAGGGCAGACTCCACCTTTTGTGCCATAATCCATGTTTCAGGAAGCATTCATAACTAAAAAGAAGTCTCTGTGTCATGATTTTGGAGCTGGATCCTGGCACAAAAGAAAATCTGCTACATGCCTCCACTTACTATATTTCAAATTAGTTGTTTCTCTTTTGTTATTTGCATATCTATGCTCATAAATAAATATGAACTACTGGGTCGATTTGATATTTCTACATTTATATGATTTCAGAGCAGAACACTTTGTTTAGGATAACTAACTAGGATGCTGACATCTGGGAAAAACAATTCTCCCTCTCAATAGTCATTAGTTTCCACCAGTACTTTTTCTAGAAAGAGGATCTCATTAGATCTCCCTAGACCTTCTATGTTAGTATGTGTACTGGCCATGTTTGCTTCTCTACCTGAGATCTTCTTGTAGATCTTAGGGTCTGTCTTCCATGCTAGCTGTGGCTTTGACTTCCCAGCTTCCTGCTCTAGAGGTCCAGGTCTCCTCCTCCAGGGCCCTGTGGTTTGCAGTGGATGGGCTGCCTTGCTGTATCCACTGTCCTTGACCTTAGAGCAGCTCTTCATTTTAGCTGCCAATCACTCCCCATTCTGACTCTTTCTCCCAAATTGATGTCACCACAGGAGACCCAAGTCCTCTGAGTAAGGCTAAGAATAATGTCTGGAAGGGCATTTCCAGGGAGGGAAAATGTCTGTGAGCATGTTGTGTTTGGGTGTGTCTGTGAGGGACTTGCCTGGGGGTGCATCTGGAGATTGCTGTGCTTGTAAGGAAAGAAGTCAGGAATTTCTGTTGAGTTTGCCTCAGGGAGAAGGTGTGTTTAGGAGGTGATTTGTGGACTTGGCCCTGGGAGGCAGGAAGGTGGGGCTACAAAAGCTCACAGACCCTGTGCACCAACCCAGCTCTATTCTTGCCTCTCTCAGTTATCTATGGAGCTGAAGGACGTGTTTATGGAGTGTCATCTGGCCTGATTATTTGCAGCCCTGGAACTAGTCCCTGGAAACCCCCAGGCCCTAGACAAGGAGTCAAACAAGGCTGATGATGAAATTCAGAGATGTGGAGGTCACAGTACTGCTGTTGATATTGTTAGAAGTAGCAGGATAATGGAATATGATCATAGAGGTGAGAACCTGATGCAGGAAACGTGAGCCAGGAATCCACCTACCCTTTCTAACGATCTTCCTGCCACCAGGTTGTCTTCTGATTTCTTAGTCTCTCAGCCACTCTCTAGACCCTTCTTTGAGTGCAAATTCTTTACAAATATTTCCTGGTGCCCAGCTTCTTCCCAGAGCTTTTCAGGGGGCCACCATTGCCTTCTGAGACTTCAGATACTGCTAGTCTTGGAAGTTCCTGAGACAGCATAGTGATCCTCATAGGTGAGCTAGTTGGTAAAACTGGAAATGTCATAAGGCAAAGAAACTTATAACTGTTGCTTTGTGGCATTTTCTATTTTCTATTTAAAAATTTAGTTATATAGGTTATTATCAGAATTACAGAGCTTGTTGAAATTATAAGTTGCGGCCATTCCTATAGATTTTGGTTAGATGAGTCAGGGTTAGACAATTGTTTGGAAGCTCTCTCTTGTACAGAAATCTGTCATGTTTTGAATAATGAGCCCATGGTATAGAATGAAATATTTACTGGAATTTTTTTGTCTATGTAGCGAGCACATACCCCAGTTACGGGGGAGGAATAATCACTCTTGATTCAGACTTGGTATAACACTCATTTATTCACACAGTAAGATTACAAGCAATATTCATCCTGTCTTCCAAATGGAAGCAGGAGTACCTCTCCGGGTATACAGGTCCGGACTCGCCACGTCTGTTCCTCTGGATCTTGGGTCAGCCTTCCTCAGGTCAGCCACGTCTGCACTGGGGACAGGATCTCACGTCTCTGGCAGAGGAGAGTCGTCTCGCGTGAGGGCCTGACGAGCTCTGTTGGTCAGGTCTGAGGCTTCATCTTTTATATTCTTTCCTGGCTAGGTTTCTAGTCTTATCCCTACTTCCACACATAGCTTATAGCTTATCACTACTCCATTTGTGGTTTACTTACATCATTCTATTGCTTATCATTCCTGACCAGGGTTGTTCACCCTAGGCCTTACATGTGTTCCTTACATTCCATCCCCTGATGCCTGAAATGTCTTCAACATAAAAGGCATCACATGAGGTCGCAGCCTGGAGATTTACAATATGTTATCCTAATTTGTTAATCCTAGCATTCTTATCCTTCTCATTCTGGGTGGTTTATTTTTATGTTTTTTCTCTATATATGCATTATATAACTTCAACCAAGTGCTATAAGCTGCAAATTCTTTTAACACATCTATAACAAAATCTCTACACAATATTCTAGTACATATGCTTTGTAAATACATTGGTTCTCCTGTTTCCCACTGTGGGTCATTCAGGAAATCTTTATCAATGCTTATTATTGCTTCATCAGGATTATGTTTTAGCCATGTTCTATATGTTTCATATATTCTGTGATTACCGCGGCCCACATATGCTGCAGCTAAAGCTGCGCTTATATGTAGGGCTGCATCCATGTTATTTCTGTGTATTTTGTACATTCCATTCACTTTATATACACTAGATTGTATGGTTCCATAATATCTCATGTATCCATCTCCAATTAATCTCATATCATGTATACCTCCTTCTATTGTCAAGTGGAACGTTAAGTGCATCAAGAGCATTGGGAGGTTGTCTACCTCACCTGGTTCTGATAGGTAGAACATTGCATATTTATGGGTGCAGTATTTGCATCCCTGTATCGTTCCTGCCATAGATAATATACCTATTCTATAGAAAATATCAGACAATGGTTCCATATATTTTTGGTATGTGGTATATAGTAAATTACTCATTCCATTTTTACTAAGTAAATCGAAGCGTCTGCCTGACGGATTCCAAAGTGGGTTTCCTGTTACTTGATTCCTGTAAGACATCTTAAGCATGGAGTTATTATCAAGCATTTGATTTTTTTAGACAAACATAAAGCAATACTTATCCCTAAAATTACTAAAAACCAAAAGGTTGCTAACTTTATCCAGTGCCACCATGTGTAAATTGGTGTACATATTAGATCTAATCTGACTAGTCTGCCTAAATAATCCCAAAAGCTGCATTTCTGCATCTGTTTTGCCCAGTCTTTATGTATGTATGTATTTGTTCTTAACAGATTCACTAGATTGTGCGTTTGTGCTTGTGATGTATGTATGGCTGCATCTTGTTCTTTAATTTTGTTATGTATGGATTCCAGTTGTTTCTGATTGAAATCTGCAATGTGCTGTAACTCCATTGCTTGTTTTACAAATGTTTGGTGATGTTCTAATTCTGTTGGGTCATTAAATAAGTGTGAGCCATCAAAATAATGTTTTTCTTCTAGTGTTAATGTGGTCACTCTTTGTTTGGTTATGTTTTTACCATCATAATTAGTGAAATTCATTTGTAGGATGCTACAGTTGTGTACCATATAGCATCCTGATTCTGTAATATTGAATGTTGTGATATCATCATTCATTGTGGTTTCATTAAGATTTATGCAGCTAACTAAAGTAGGTAAATATTTAGCACATATCAAGAAAGTGTAATCTCCCGTATCTTCTAGTGACTGTGTGATAGTAGTTACTGCCAATTGACTAGTTTCAAGTGTGCTTTCTGGTAAATGTGGATAAACGTATGTATTTGCTCCTAATGATATGGAGTCTTCTAATGGTATGTACACTGGTGTGTCATTCATATTGGTCCATAAGTAATGGTCTATGGGTACTAAGTATTGGTGGTTCCATTCTGATACTCCTGTTCTTTCAGTATATAGCTGTGGTATCGCCTTAGAATGATATGCTGAAAATGAATTTTGTAAGAAGATCTGTACTAAATGTATATTGCATAATCCATCTGTGCATGAGCTTTCATATTCAGGGTTTAGTATACTTTGATATTCTCTTGTTCTTCTCCCTAACCCTGTGCTAAATAAACTATTTAATTCATTATTCATATTACTGACTTGAGTTCGATACATTTGACACATCATCATGTTATGGTTAGTATTAATAAGTTTTGCTTGATAGGAGAATTGTTCCTTATAAAGGTCTTGTGACATTTTTATCTCGCCTTGCATAGTTTGTATTAGTGTATGCATGCCATCTATAGAATTTGATATAGCTGCTAAAGCTTCTGCTGTTTTCTTATTTACTTCTTGTATGTGGTATATTTCTGCCTTTATTGGTTCTATCATTGCTGCTGATACTCCTCCACCCATTATTCCACCTAAAATTGCTCCTGCCATAAAGGCTGCTACTGCCATTGCTTGTAGTGGTTTTCTTCCTACTCTTGTTGGTGATGAGTAGTCTAAATCAAATCTAAAATTCACATCACTACAATATTCTATAGGTGGTTTCAGTGCTGTCAAATCTATTGTAATTTCAATTTTTCTAATCCTAGGGTATAAAACTAATTTAGCTGGACTTTTTAGGTCTGGTATAATAGCTGGTGCCTTGACTACTGTTGGGGTTCCTTCTGGTGGTATTAGGTATCCTTTTGGAAAATGAGCTGTATATAATCCAATATTTTCTTTATTTGGTCTGGTCATATTTCCTCTAAATATAATTAATGGTGTGTTGAAATGTTCGCTGAGAAAATCCTTATTTCTTGATATCGGGAGATAATATATTTTATCCCAATATTGTGTATGTGATTTCATTGATCCTCTAGGTTTGTGTGCTACCCATTCAGCCTTATTCCATTCTTTATATTGTGGATTTGGCATTAACATGTAGAAATAATATGGGAGATTATGGTGCTGTAATTCAATTACTCTATCCATTTCATAATCCAAAGTTTGCCAAAAACTCCCTGATCTAGTTATCCCATTTTTATAATGTACCATTAGATCATCTGGATCCATAACCTTATTGATTCTCATAGCCTTTGTCATTTGTACATATGGTGGGATATATTCTACCTCCCTTATACCTGTGAAATTGTATGCCTTTTGTTCAATTGCCCTATTAAATATTAAAATATTTTTTGCTGCTACTTCATCTGTAGTAACATTGGCACTGACTTCCCAGGGTATGGGCATGTCCAGTAAGTCTTTAGATTCGTGAAACCAGCAAATTGATATCTTACTGCCACCTAGCATGTTATGTATTTTATGTTTTGGTTCATGTATCATGCCTATGGTTAATATTGGTGTGCTGTCAAATTTTACTAGTGACATATGTTTGTTTATTATGGTAATTTTACCATATATATTCAAATTTATTATTGTGGTTGCTTTATTTGTGGTACAGTTAGTCCGTACCGCTGTATTATTTGTTTCGGTAAAGCATGATAATTTGTTTCTCAAGCTTGTGGTACCTTGTGTTAGTGATTTTGCTAAGGTTAGGTTAAAAAATCCCAAATTACTTGCTTGCGTAAAATATGTTGGATATGACTGTTGGTCGTCATTAAATCTCATTATTGCCTGGACCTGTTTAGTAGCTGTTATATTTGCAGTACTGTCCACAAAAATTCCTAGCCATGGTATTTTCTGGCCTATTATATCTGTGATTGCTATTAAATCTTGTACTGACCTTGATGTTCTTCCAGTAAATAAAGGTCCTACATGTAGGTCCACTATAGTCTTTGTATTGTTGTTTTGTCTAATGTTTGTATTTGCTTCGGACATATTTATACATGCATATGCAAAAGAGTGTTTTTCCCTGTGTAATGTGGAATTTACTGTAAGTATGCAAATGTGTGTTATGGTGTCTGTGTTGCAATCATATTTAGGTTTCATTGTGTGTCTCATTGAAGCCCAAGGTTGTTGTATAATATCTGTAAGTATGATTGGGAATCTCCAATGTTCTACTCCTAATTGCAATATTTTTGTCCAGTCATCCCATTTCCATTCCTTTCCTTTTACTGATGGGTTATCTGTGCTATATAATACAGAGAAGTTACCATAGAATGGTAAATTGGGATAGTCTGCTACGCATAACCAGTTAGTATTATTTTGTCCTGGTACATCTAGCTTATGTTTTTGAATGTATCTCCATAAGTTATTGGGACATCTATTTCCCCAGGGTTTGGGTAATGGTATTATTCCAGATACTACTGGCCATGGTTTTACCATTTCACCATCATTGCATACTGTCCAATTCATAGGGTTGCATGGGTTTATAGGTGTTGTAGTTACTTTAGGTGTTGTACTAGCAGGGTAATCACCATCATAATAGTCATCATTGTAATTATACACTTGTTCTTCCCACCTTTCTGATGTCTTATTATACAGCATACCTATCTCCTCCATTTGTTGTGCTATTACTGGTGCGAAATATTGTCTCACAAAGGAGCTATTCATGCCTAGTTCGCAGTCAAATTCTGGTTCTGTCTCTATTCCCATTGTATTGGTCCTATAGTGTGAGTTTACCCTTAATGTGTTTGTTCTGATATGTGAATTCTTTGTCCAATACATGTTGTATATGGCTGCGTGATTGGTAATGTTGGTCCATAATTCATTGTAATGGCATTTTAATGGGTTCTGCTCATGTATGTTGGTGTTAACATCATCCCCTGATTCTAACATATATTCTTTGTTTGGATGGTATATGCTAAGTGCCATTCTATATTGATCGCAACCCTTATACCAGGCATATGTTAAACATGCTGCATATTTTTGCCAAAAACTGTGTGTTTTTCCTATGTAATGTGTAAATCTTCTCTCTGCTGACCAATATAGCGGTAATTTGCCTTCTAGATCATAAATTGTTGGTGTAGCAACGGTATTCTGTTTCCTAGTGCCCACTTGTATAACATGTGGTGTGGTGGTGGGTCTGTTTGTTGTGGGTGTACTGTCCAATAGGGCTGGCATTGGTATGCTGTTATTGCCATCACATCTGCTAACCTGAGACAGAAAAATGAGCACACAAAGGCTCCAATAGCATATAGCTTGCTTGCCTTCAATGTGCACATCACCTTTGCTATTCTTATTGCCTCCTGTGCAGATAGTGTATCCAGCATACCGTGAAGTTGGCTGTTCTGGATGCTGCAGAAGCGTATCCAGGATTGGTATTGTTGACTATGTTGTATGAGTAGCTTCTTTGGTAAATGATGTTACAGAAGGGAAAAACAAATTCTAAGATTGGCAGTACTATGTATACTGCAATAGCTATTAGCCAAATCGTCAGGAGGGTTGCCCTTATGAATATCACCTCCCTGACACACATTTATGCTATATCCTCCAGCCTGACTAATTTCAAGTCCTTTTTACCTTGAGTTATCCACACGTTGTTTCCTGTTCCTGGTGCTATTATTTCTGCTGGGGATAATTTGTTATTCTTCCGGTTCCTGTAAAGGCAATTAGGATTCCTTATTACTTCTCTATCTATAACTGTAGGATAATCTATTGTGTGTTGTTTTTGTATAGCTTCTTCTATTGGTGACTTCCTATTTATTCTGGGTCTGGTATTCAATTCATAAGTTGCTATTTTTATTGCTAATGACAGTGGTATTCCCTTATGCATCTCTAGCTGTTTTTTAATCATTCCGTTCCATCTTTCTATTGCTCCAGCTGCTGTCGGTGTATAGGCTCTATGGAAGTCCCATTGAATGTTTAAGTTTCTAGCCATTCTTTGTGTTTTGGCTCCTGTGAAATGAGTTCCTTGGTCTGATTGTATTATATCAGGTATTCCATATGCTGCACACCATCCCCAGACTGTAAGTATTGTTGTGTTTTGGTCTGGGTGTGTGCTTTCTCGGGCCATCCCGAGACCTGTTGTTATGTCTACTAGGGTGCAGCAATATTTTCCCTTGAAGCTGTTTAACGGTCCTATGAAGTCTATTTGTAGGATTCTATTAAAATCCATTCGGTGTCCTATTATCCCTTGGTAATTGTGTGTTAATCTTGTAATAGCCTTTGGGCAATTGTTGCAACTATTGATTGCTTTCCTTATTGTCTGCCATGTTATCTTAAGATTTCTTTTATCGAACCAACTTTTTAGTGCATGTGTACCTATATGTCCTAACTGCTCATGGATTTTCAGTATCTCCTCTGTACTTATAGGTATGTCCTTAGTTGATGGTCTTACCTGTATCCATTCTCTCTGTATTTTACCTTTTCCTGTTTCTGGATTAATGTTTGCCTTCCATGTACCTTTTAACTTTATACTTAACACTGAAGCTAGTTTGTCTACTACTTCATTGTTTTTACTTGTCTCATCCTGTTTCTTGGTATGTGCATCTACATGGTATACTATGATTTTGATTAGTCTGCTTGCTGCATCCAATTCCTGCCATGCTGCCTTTGACCATATGTCTTTACCATTAATTTTCCATCCATTATTTCTCCATTTACCTGACCATACTGCTATGCCATTTGCCACACACCATGAATCGGTGTATAAATAAATTTGTTTATAATTGTCCTTTATAGTTTGTCTTATCGCCAATAGTGCGGCTATAACTTCTGCATGTTGGGCTGATTTATCAGTGCCCTGGTCTGTAATGACCATTCCATCCCCAGGTCTATAAGCGGCTGCTCTCCATCTCACTTTGTTGTTCACCGTGGTTGCTGATCCATCGGTGAACCAGGCATTAACCAGAGAGGGATCGTACTCTCTAGTCCCCCAATGGCCCATTGGTACCTGTTTCTGGGGAGGGGTTGAGGTTGGGAAAATGTATCCCTCTGGAGTCATGGGCCTGTCGGACTGAAGTATCGACTCCGATACCGCTGGTACCGACCCCTTTGCTGACAGAGGTGTTGATCGAAGGAACTCCTGAAGGTACCATTTCCATTGAAGTACCTTTCCTTCCATGGGTAGTCCAGCCCATGCCTCTCCTGGTGCCTTTACCCAGTCCAAAATGGGTATATGTGATCGGAGAGTCACATGGTTCTCTTTGAGCAGTGAGTGGATTGTCCTGAATGCCTCGTAGGCTGTCCATATGGTTCTTTCGAACAGCGAATATTTGTTCTCTGACCATGGGAATTTCTTGCAGTAGAAGCCTATTGGCGTTTCCCTGTCTTTATTTTTTGAAAATATATTCCAATTACCATAACCCTGCATATACAAGATGTCCACAAATATGTGGTCACCGGGCTGTATATAATATAGGTGGCTATACTGGTTTATATATTCCAGTACCAATTTAACGGCATTTTCGCAGTTTTGGTCCCATTCAAAATCCTGTGCTTTCTTTGTTATTTTATATAAAGGCTGTAATATGATCTGTAAGTATGGAATATGTTGCCTCCAATATGCAAATAGGCCAATTAGATGTTGTACCTCAGTTTTATTCTGGGGTCGCTTAATTTGTTTTAATTTATCTATTATTGTTTCGGGTATTGTTGGTCCTTCTGTAGTCCAATGTACCCCTAAGAATTTTACTTCTGTTCCTGCTTTATTTACTTTTTCTAGGTTTATAGTCCATCCTTCATTTCTTAAATGTTGAATTAGTTTCTCTAATGTACTTTGTACTTTTTCAATGGCTTCTCCTACTATCATTATATCATCTACATAGGTATATATGTTACAGTCTGATTCTGGCTCGAAGCTCTTTAATGTAGTTGTTAAGGTGTTGTGTGCAATAATAGGACTGTTCAAATACCCTTGAGGGAGTCTCAAGAATTGATATTGCTGTCCTTGCCATGTAAATGTAGTAAGTTCCCTAGATGTTGGGTGTAATGGGATTCCAAAGAACATATCACTTAAGTCTATAGTTGCCATTGCCTTTGGAGCTGAATTTTTAATTCTAAGAAAGATGTCTTCCACATCAGGAAGTTGTCCTGGAAGTTTAGGTGTTTTTTCATTTATTCTCCTGAAGTCAACTGTAAATCTCCATTTGCCATTAGGTTTCAGCACCGGCCATACTGGGCTGTTATAATTGAATGATTGAGATTTCTCTATAATGCCTTCTTTTAGCAAAGTTTGTATAGTCTCTGTTATTTCCTTAATACCTCCTTTGATAGGGTATTGTGCCGTGAAGGTCGGGGGTGTGTGTGGTAATTTAATAGGTTGTATTTTTACTTCTGCTAGATTACATCTGACCTTAGCTATTCTCTTATTATTTAGAAAGTCTGGGAATAATTTTCTTATTTCTTTAATGCCTAGGATATTACAGGGTGCATTGAAGCTAGCTGCTTCAATCTCATATTCCTTATTATATAATTTGAGTCTTAATTTTATTACTGGTACTTCTGTTTCTGCTGCTACTCCCTGTATTATAATCCTTTTATCAGTTTTAAAATGTTCTGTAAATTCCGTTATTATACTAATTTCAGAACCTGTATCTATTAGCCATTTTACTATTCTCGGCCCTTTGTTAGTTATTATAGGTATAGCTACGAATGGTCTACCAGCCGGGTTGATCAAGTCCGTCTTGGTATGTAGCGTCTGGGGGGTCCTGCTCTTGGGGGCCTGTGATTGTTCTGATTGAAAAATTTTGGTCTGAAATTTGGTTTGAAATTTCGATTGCCTAAAAAAGGTTTTGGTTGGCATGTCTGTCTCCATGGGTTGCTCTGTGTCTCTCTCCATGGGATATTTTTCCTTCCTGTCAACCTTCTAATTGGGTTCCATGGTTTATTTGCATTCTGTCTTATGGGCATTTGATTAGCTTTCCCAAATGGTCTTATGTTCGAAAACCGCGGTGTAAATTTCTTCTTGTCCTGTTTCTTATTAACATTGAATGATACTACCTTGTCTATGTCCATTTCCCTGTAAGATTTAGAGAATTCCATGGCATCTGAGATGGTTTGACATGCCTGCAGGGGTCCAGCTAGGCTCATTTTAAGGTGTGCTGGAGCTCCTTTAATAATGATCTTTTTAAATTGTGGTGTAAAAGGTGCGGCTTGAGGTGTGGGTACCTGGTTGTATATGAAATACAATATGCCTAATTTTCTACATTGTTTTATGGCTTGTGCATATGTTGTCCACTGTGCTGCTGATTCAAATTGAGTGAGGTCTAATGTTGGAAATGCAAATCTCCAAGCTGCAGTAATCCAATCTAATAGTGGATGTGTATCGCCTTTTGATGTCTCAATTACATGCTCTAGAGCTTCTGATACTGAGGGGTTCTCTACTATGTTTCTGATCTTTCTCATTTCTAGATCAGTTAACATGACTGTGTCAGCTCCCTTTTCCCACAGTCGGCACATATATTCTGCGTCTTTCTGTCCATTTTGGGCATAATCTTTCCGTAATTCTGAGATCTCCTGAGGAGTATATGGCCTGATTTCCTCAAACTTCGTTCCCATTTCAAATTTGGGACGATTACTACCTCCTCCAGTGCTGAAGGGGTTCAGAGCTGATATAGTACTTCTAATAGGAGTTCTCTTACTTTGGGTAGAGACAGGAAATGATGGTACGGTGTTACATCCATTCCATCCAGGAGTAGCGCTACGCTCCTGTTCCTTCCTCACTATGTTTAAGGCTAGCCTTTTGCCCATTAATCTGTCCTTATCAATATCCTGCACCGTTTTCATAAGCAGTGCGGTAGTTTGTGCCTTGCTACATCCCTCTAATTCTTGTTCTACCACATCCGGATTTGTTAATGTGTTAGTTACATTTACTGATTTCATGCCGGCCTTATTTTTAACCTTGGAGGCTACTTTTCCCCACTGTTCTTCAACCTCATCTTGGTATTCTCTACCTGTCACTGGGGAGATGTTAGTCTTCTTAAATTTCTTAATTAATCTATTCATTGTAAGTGGTATACCAAGCCGTACAAAAATTTAATTAATTTTTTCCTACGGTACCACTCCCAGTCACTAATTCGTTTAGACTGATTCAAAGAATCAGTTATCAATTTTTCAAATTTCAAATCCGCAATCCTTTCTATCCTTTTGGCCAGCCAGCGCCTCATTTAGCTCTTTCCCAGCACCTTCCGCTCTTCCCCAGGGGTCTGGGTTGGCATCAAGGTGTCCGGTATTCTTTCGGTACTCCGCACCCTTAGGGAGGGTGGTGTTTCCCGTCTGCTTCTGATACTCTCTCTCCTACCAGTTCTTCCTCCTTGGACCTTCAGATTTTCTTTAGGTCCTCAGAGTTGACTTCGAGGAGTTGATTTCTCAGAGCGGCTTTGAGGTCACTTGCTAGTTTATTTGGTTTCCTGTAATTTGTTACTCCACCAGAGTAATAGCCAATTCTTTTGTATTACTTATTTTACATTCCCCAGTGCTCAGTGGTCAAGGAGGCTTTAAGCCCAAAATCCTGCCGACTACGCCAACTGTAGCGAGCACATACCCCAGTTACGGGGGAGGAATAATCACTCTTGATTCAGACTTGGTATAACACTCATTTATTCACACAGTAAGATTACAAGCAATATTCATCCTGTCTTCCAATGGAAGCAGGAGTACCTCTCCGGGTATACAGGTCCGGACTCGCCACGTCTGTTCCTCTGGATCTTGGGTCAGCCTTCCTCAGGTCAGCCACGTCTGCACTGGGGACAGGATCTCACGTCTCTGGCAGAGGAGAGTCGTCTCGCGTGAGGGCCTGACGAGCTCTGTTGGTCAGGTCTGAGGCTTCATCTTTTATATTCTTTCCTGGCTAGGTTTCTAGTCTTATCCCTACTTCCACACATAGCTTATAGCTTATCACTACTCCATTTGTGGTTTACTTACATCATTCTATTGCTTATCATTCCTGACCAGGGTTGTTCACCCTAGGCCTTACATGTGTTCCTTACAGTCTATTTGTTTTGTTTTGTTTTGGGAGAGGGTTTTTCATTGAAACAGTCCTAGCTATCCTGGAATTCACTCTCTACACCAGGCTGTCCTCGAACTCACAGAGATCTGCTGGCCTCTGTCTTCTGAGTTCTGGGATTAAAGGTATGCACCATCACGTCCTGGCAATTTTATCTTATATATTCAATGTATATTATTTTTTGTTTGTTTTGTATATTCCATATTTTCAATATATATTATTCATTAAACTGTACAGGGTGATTTTTAGGCTAGCTGGAACTTTCTAATGAGATCTTGTCTCAAACAACAAAGCAAAATTATATTCAACTATTTGTTTGTGTGTGTGTGTGTGTGTGTGTGTGTGTGTGTGTGTGTGTGTGTGTGTGTATGCACCATATAGGCCAAATTCAAAGAGATCTATCTACCTGGCTCTGCTACCATACTCAGCTCTATTCATTCCTGAAAATGATTTATCAGAGACTAGTGGCGGACACCTAAAATGACTTTAAGAGTTATTGTCCTGAACCATGAGACCACTGCAGCAGTTAAGCTGGGACACTTCAGTGCATTTTGTAAAACATTTCCAGGATGAGTCAATACAAATCAGAGTTGGAATTTTATTTTAAGACAGGTTTTTTCTATATATCTCTAGTTGTCCCTGAACTCAGAATGTAGGCAACATTGGTCCCAAACTCCCCGAACTTTGCCTGTCTTTACCATCCAAGTATTGGAATAAAATATGTGTGCCCCATCCTATGATTATAATATTATTATGCATATACTTATGATTATTTGAATGTATGTGCTCATTTATGTGTGGACAGGTGTGCATATATGTCATGGTTTGGGTGTAAGAGTCAGAGGACAATTTTGGATGGTGGTCCTTTCCCTTTAGCATGTTTGAGACAGGGTCAGTAATTTGCTATCACATGTCAATAGGCTTGCAGGATTTCTCCTGTCTGCCTTTTCTCTTGCCTTAAAAACACTGGATTACTGGCATGCACTCTTGAAACTGTCTTTAATGCAGAAGTAAAGTGATAGTTGCAAGGTGAGCACTTTATGTGTTCAACCATTTTCACAGCCCTCAAGTTTATGAAGCAGAGAATTTTGTGACTTTTGAGACTCACATTTTAACCTTGTCTGGCCTGGAACTCTCTATGTAGTAGATATGCTAGGCCTGGAACTTGAAGATGTCCACCAGCCTCTATCACACATGATGATACCTGGGTAAAAAGAAATTTTTATTATGGAATTTTGCAGATATTAGTAGAAAGAAGTTTGGGAAAGTGTAGTCTTATGAGGGAGAGCCCCACTTAATTGATAGGAAGCCATCTTACAGGTTTGGTGATTTTGTAAGATCCATTTCAATGGGTTCTTAGGGAGTCTCTGTGTCTCTCTCTTCTCAGTGTCTTTCTGTGTGTCTGTCTGTCTCTCTCTCCTTTTCTTTGGAAACATGATCATAGGTCAGTTACTGAGGATGCTTGGATGGGACTCTGTGTTAATGAGGTAAAAGTGTGGATCAGAAGAGTTCTACACTGTGCCTTACTCTACATGAGGTTCATAATTTGGTCCTGCAATCTTCAGAAAATTGCTGCTTATATCTGGGAAAGGAGTAAGTCCAGGCTCAAAAGTTTTTACATGCTTTGGCCTCAAACATGGCTCATTCATATTTGAGATATCACTAAAAAAAAAGAAAAGTTTTCTGTCTATGCAGTAAATTTTATTAATTTTGTGTGATGGTTAATATTGAGTTTCAACTTGATAAGATTTAGAATCAGCTAAGGGACACTCCTCCAGGCACACCTGGGAAGGATTATCTAGATCATGTTATTCTCTGGGGTGTGCTTTTGAGAGATTGTCTTGTATATGAAGTTCATTGATAGGAGAGGCCTTTTCTCTCTTCCAGAAGTGATAGCTTCATTCCATTCCATGGTCTTGGTACTGGATTATGTAATAAGAACCAACTTTTATCATTCTCTGACTCCAGACTATGGATAGAATGTGATCAGGTTAATAGTAGAATCAACATACAGTAGATTGAAGGAATAGAGACTACCCTTGTTTGCAATCTGCGTAGAGCCCAGATGTTTGGGCGTTTGTGAGATTCTTCTTCCTTGGTGTCTTGACTGCCAATCTGAGATTGAAGGGCTCATGGAGAGATGATGACTATGTCACAGATTTGAAATACCTGCATAGAGGGCTTGGGAAAACACTGCTTACAGCAGGAACCTGAAGCTATGTTCGATTCTAGAACCATAGGATAACCAAGGAGAGGTGCAACTGTGCAATCGTATTGGCACTGTAGGAAAGCTGTGTGTGTTAAGGATGGCAAAGCCTGAAACATGGAGCTTGTCTAGTCCATGAGATCCCAGAATGCCATTAAGAGTCTCAGAATTTGCACAATGAGATGCAGGATGCTGTTCTTCCCTTTGTGAAAACAGTGGACTAGGCTGTTACTCATTTTTTTGTTCAGAATATAACTTTAGGAAACTGTAGACTCTTTAAATGTTGGAATTTTTAAAGACTATGGGAAATGTCTAATGTTATGATTAACATGAGACTTTGGGGACCATAAAAAATGACATTTTCTTTGGTAGGGATGTACAATAAAATTTTGAGTCAAGTGAATATTTTCCACCAAAGTTATTTTGGGTCTGGTTATTTTATCCACTTAATAAAAATGAGACTGCTCCACCACCCAGTTTGATGCACAAGATGAACAGAACCCAGACTATGAATTCATGGACATGTACCAGGCCTCCTACTTGAAACACGTTTAATAGTGATCTTTGACATACAAGCTTGAGTATTTTTCTGTGTCACTAATGTATAATTCCTCAAGGCTCTCATCCCCGCAACCATGTACATAAAATCTCCAAAAAACAGACTTAGTAGACTGTCTTCATGTATATCATTATACTTATTCATACATAGGTTTCAAGGAAGAAGTTGGAATGGAAATATATGAGAAGGGATGGAGTGAAGAGAAAAAAAGAGAAAGTGATGTAATATCTTTTAAGTAAAATTATAACAATACATTTTAATTAAAAAGAAGGGCTCAAGACATGGCTCAGCAATTGGTAGCATTGGGGGTTGTTACAGAATACCTAAGTTCTATTCCTAGAACCCACATGGTGGCTAAACATTTGCTCTAGCTCCAGTCCTGGTCATCTCCTGCCTTCTTCTGGACGCTTTAGATACTGTGCAGAGAGACATGTAGGCAAATCTCCCACCTAAGTAAAGTTAAAACAGTAAAAATTAAAGAATGGATTTCTCTTCAGTGGTGTCACAGGCCTGAGACAGACAGCAGCCAGAGATGGTGAAAATGAACTCCTTTGTGTCCATCATGGAAAGATCTGTGGCCTTCTTCAGAGCCAGCCTCCAGAGGCAAAAGCAGCCTTGTTCTGAGCTGAAAATAGCTCAGTAGAGTCATCCAATTAAGAGCAGTGACCACAATGCTGATAGATGACATTTTCTTGAAGTTTTGTGTGTTTGTGTTCCCTATCGTTTGAACTTGTGTGAACTGTCACATTGGTACAGCTATCTTTTAGATCAAAGGTCAAGACTGACAGGGAGTGAAGTCTCCAAAGCAATCTACTTTCATGGTGCCATTTCCTTGACTTTCAGGTAAGACCTTGTACTGCAATATGAACATGCCAGAGGCATGTCTTTCCATCATTTTTATAATTTATATTTGTTCCTGCATGACTTTGAGGTAAAAATATCCCTTGACTAGTACTGCTGTGCTTTGATGTTTTTCACCTGTCTGCTGTGGAAATTGTTCTAGTTAAAAATACTGTTCATAGCTGCGTTCATCCTTGCTCCATTTCTCTAAGTATTCAACTTATTGTGAAGACTTCACTTCTTACTATTAAATTGTCAAGAGATTGAATTTCGTAAGGAAATTCCTAAAACAATGGAGCCATCATCCAGCCTTGTGGTGGGAGAAGGAATGATCATCTTGTTTATGATCTGGTTTCTGCTTTTCTCTCCTGGTTGTCTGAAGTCCCTGTGTCAACATTAAAAGTACCTTCAGTTCACCTCTCCTCAGTGTGAAACCACAGAACAAACACCATCTGTTGTGTCCTAAAATCTATTTAATTGTTAATATTCTGGACACTCCTCCTCCTGGGGAAGAGGGGAATCACTCCACTCCACATTGTGCAATGGACTGTACAAGCTATCCACTTTGTCTCCATGAGGAAGAAGGGAAAGCACCTATGGAGTGCAGGAAGATAAAGTATCTGTTATTGAAATCAGGGGCAAGTTCTACTGAAATGTAAAACTCTGTAGTCCTGGAAAAGGCCTGGGTCAGGGGTAGAACAATGGGCCAGGAAGCACTCTGCTGTGTTCTGTAAGCACATTGTAACTCTAGGGACATGCTCATCCAGCTTTCTGATGGGAGAAAGACCTATTATCATGTTTGTGGTCTAGTTCCTAATCTGTTTGTGAACTAGTTCTTCTAGTTCACCTCAATGTGAAGTCACAGAATACACATCTGTGTGATATTTTATTCGTGCTCCAAGAAAAAAAACACATCTGGCTATCAGAGGACAGAAACATCATCTATTTAGACATAGAGATCAGACTGTGGTGGCACACATGCCTTTAATCCTATCACTTGGAAAGCAGAGATCCATTTGGATCTCTGTGAGTTCAAAGCCACACTGGGAAGAGAGTCAGGTGTGCAGGCACACAGCTTTAATCCCAGCACTTGAGATCTCATGTCTTTGCTTAGGAAGGACACACACCTTTAATCCCAGGAATTGATGGTGGGATACAGAAAGGTATATAAG